TTCGTGTCAGCACAACCACATCGTGTGAATCCTGAGTGTAAAACCTCACTTGGTTTGGCAGAATTGGTGTGTCAGTGGAAGTAAGGTCCAAAACAGGAATCTGATCTAGGACTTAGAGTGTCATGTTGCTTTTGCCTGCAGAAAACCATTGTTGGGTTAAAAAACAAACACTGGGATGAAGTGCTCTGTTTCCCTACCATTATAAAACCATATTTTACCTGTTCAAGTAATATAATGGTAGGCTGATTTTATTTTCTGGTTTAATATTTTTTCTGACAGAAGTAGGTTTCTTAGGACATGGCAGGTAAAATGCCAAACACACCAAAAATAGTGTGACTAAGAAAATAAGAAGAATAAAAAATAAGAAAATAAAACAACTCCTACTGGACATTTTTTCCTCTTTCACTCTTTTCCACAGCTTTAAGCTATTTCATTCACGTTTGTTCAGCCACAATATTGAGATATTTTATGTGAAACAACAATGTTGGCTCTACCCTTATAGCTGAACTCTTTGAATCGGGCTAATTCTAACCCTGTTCCTTCTCATCAGGAAAAACTTTTATGAAGATTAGCAGGTGACAGAATACTGGCCTGATTATATCAAGGCTTAAGAGTGGTCTCTCTTCTCACCATCCTAAATAAAATACTGAGAGGTTTCCTGTGGGTGGTGGGATTTCTGCTGTTGTACATCTGGTTTTATTTTTCTTTAATTATTTTTCCTAAGGATTGTTTAATATTGTCTGCTTAATAGTTGTTCTGCGGTGTTTCATTTTCAAAAGTGAAAAATGACTGAGACTTAATCTGAAGCAACTGTAAACATGAATTGAAAAAACTTGTGCCTTGAACTATTTGAAAAGTTTAAACATACAAAAATCTTAGACGAGTGTTGAATTTAAGGAAGACTTATGGTTAAAACATCCATCTTTGTCAACACTGAGATAGTTAAAAGCTGGAGAGGCTCCTGAAAGTGGCACAGAAGCCACTTTCAGGAGCCACTGAAATGTACATGAGGGACACTTGTTTAGAGTAATAGTTGGTAGGTGTTTGTTTAAAGAAAATGCAGCTTTCAGATTACTGTTCCAGATGTTGACAATAACTGGGATGTTCTCCACTTCCACTTCTAAAGTGTCTTAGGAAAGCAAATAGAAACTGAGTGCAAGAACGAGGTTTTCAGTGCAGTTTCAGAGGATAGTCTGATAGCTGCTGAAGTGGCCAGTGCTGCTCCTTCCACTGCCCTGCTTATGAATTTTCATCACCTCACCTGCCTTCAGAAGAAATATGATCATGTGAATGCGTGGCAAGTTGGATCCGAATGAAGACTGTTTGTTAAAATTTTATTTGTCCAAGGTGATGTGATTTGCTTTGGGGAAGCACAGGGAGTGAGGTCGTGGTGGGTTCCCACTGTGTCACTGCCCCTCTTCAGCTGGGCAGGGAAGGGAGAGGACAGTGAAAAGTTCAGGTTGAGATGAGGACAGGGACATCACCCAGCAAGTGCCATCACGGACAAAACAGATTGTGCTTGGGGAAATCAGCTTAATTTATTGCCAATCAAATCAGAGTACGGTAATGAGAAATAAATCCCCAGTGTTAAAATATCTTCTCCCCATCCCTTCCTTTCTCCCAGGTTGAACTTTACTTTATTCTCTGCCTCTTCCTGGTGAGCAGTGCAGGGAGTGGGGTCCCTCCCATGGGAGATGTTCTCATGGACTTCTCCCATGTGGGCCCTTCCCATCGGCTGCAGCTCTTCCCGAGCTGCTCCAGCATGGGCCTTTCCCATCCTCCGGGGCTCAGGAAGGGGCTGCTCCCCCAGAGGGTTCCTGCAGGCTCACAGCCTCCTTTGGGCATCGCCCTGAGCAGGTGTGGGGTCCTCCTGGTGCCTTGAGAGGCTCCTAGAACAGAGGCTGGACAGAGTTAAAGGAATAAAGTAGGGATTTATTAAAAAGCCTTCACAGGATTCACCTTGGGCAGTGCAAGAGCCCAGCCAGGGCTTACACCCAAGCTGGACAATGGTCATGAGTTCTCACACTTTTATAAGTTTTGGTCCATTTCCATTTTGGGGTTAATTGTCCAATTCCAGCTCCAGGTGATGCAGTCCCATCCTCCCAGTTTGCTCTCCTCCATTCCCTGCTCTTTGCACTTTTTGGGGCTGAAGCTGCAATGGTGTCCTTGGTTCTGGAGCTGGGAAAGGATTGTTTTGTGTGACTGAGCTGTGAGGAGAGCTTGCTGACACTTCATGCTAGGAAAGGATTGTTTTGTGTGACTGAGCTGTGAGGAGAACTTGCTGACACTTCATATGAAGTTCAGATATACACCAATGCAGTACAGAGTCTGGAAAATACGAAATCTAGAATGTAAGGCATCACTCCATGGGCTGCAGCTGGGTCTCTGCTCTCCTGTGGGCCCCCATGGGCTGCAGGTGGATCTCTCCTCTGACCCTGATGTTCCTTCTCCCCTGGCCTCGCTGTCTGCAGGGTTGTTGCTGTCCCATACTTGCTCCTCTCTCCCAGCTGCTGTTCTGCAGCAGCTTTTTCCCTTCCCACATACATAATCCCAGAGGCACAATGGGCACTGCTGATGGGCTCAGCCCTGGCCAGCAGCGTGTCCCTCTTGGAGCAGGCTGGTGTTGGCTCAGCTGGACATGGGGGAAGCTTTTGGCATCTCTGCACAGAAGTTTGTAACCCCTGTAGCCCCCACTACCAAACCCTGGCCACACAAACCTGCTTCAGGTAAGAACATGCAGGGAGCAGCACTCCACAGCCACTTGGAGTGTTGTGTCTTGATTATGACGCAACCTGTCTCGCTCTTTATTTATTCTAATTATTTATGGACTCATCTATGGGTAATTTGCCTACTCTGGGTACTTTGTTACCCTGTAAGGGCCAGACATTTATTGTTTGCTTTAATAGCACTTGCTCTGTGTGTAGGTAAGGAATGGTACATTCCAAGGTAGCTCCCAAGGTCACAAATCAGGTTCATGGCCAAACCAATAATAGCAGGCACCTTCCCTTTCAGTCCTGTTTTAATTAGGCTGAACAGTGTTGAAATAGCTCTACAGTGGTGGGGAAGCCATTTGCTTAGAAAACTTGAGTGTGAAAACACTAATTAATTAATTAATTTAGTAAAGCACTAAAACTAGTGTGGGGACTGTCAGTCTAGAGGAGCCTGTTTGCCTCGGTGCTTCAGAGATGGTTCTACATTTTTAGGCTCCTATGTTTATTAAAAACTGCACATTTATAGGTTGTGATCAATTTAACAGTGACTGGGTCTGTACTGCAAAGAATAAGCATTTTCCAGTAGAAGCTTTAAACAAAAATAATAGATTATTATTTCTCAAGTATAAATGAATGATATAAAATAACTTTTGTAGAAAACCAGGTGAAGCATTGTCCTAAATTTATATTTCGTAAGTGTAACACCTTTACTTAGATTTGACCTGGTATTCCTTAACAAAGGCTTATGGTACAAAATGATGAATAATCAAGAGAAAAAGCAGGTTGGGAAGACTTTTTAGTATTAGTTTGTATATAACTTTTTTTGATTGGTTGTCAGCAAGAACTGTTTGCTCTGAAAATGATAATTTTACGTTAGTTAGGATAAGAGTTAATGAATGGTAGTAAATAATGTTCCAAGTATTAGTCACAAAGACACATGCATACTATTCTGAATTCATTCTGTATTGACAATAGTAATACTGAACTCATCTCTAGCTCCCATTTTCTTTCTAAAATGCTGTTACCAGAACAAGTTATTTATAAACTAAATGAGCAGAATTCCACATGTGTGGCGCTTTTTTTGTTGTTCTTTTTACTACCAAAAATGTACTTTCTTGTGGCCTTTCTAAATGTGCTTTATTTCTTCAGACCATCTGGAATGGATATAAAATCTCTTTATACGCTTTTACTATCAAATAATTCTGAACAATTCTAATTTTTTTTTTCACTTAATGCGAGTAAATTGTCATTAAATCTCCTTTCTAAAGGAGAGCATGCAAGCTGTTAAGACTGCAGTGTACCATTATCATCTTCTGTAATGTTCTCCAAGTATGCCTTCCATCCATGAGAAAAAGAGAAGCCCAAGATTAGGGAGCTGGCAGTTGTATAGCAGCATGAGTCCAGTAATTAGAGGGAAAGACTTTTGGACAGATTGAGAGAAAAATTTTAAGGTACTCTTGAGAGTTAAAGAGCTTTGTTCTGCTCTTTCAGGATTGCTCCAGTGATTGATGGTACGTATGTAGTCTCAAAAGAAAAGTGCCCTTCACTCGTGCAGAAAATCTTCATTGCAAAGTGCTATTTTGTTTTATTTTGAGCACCTCAGGTGATTTAAAGAAATAGCAGATGATTTTTTTTTTAAACTGATGGTTTATGCTGTTTTATGTGATTATTTCTGCTGGTTGGAATAGTCACTGGCACTGATGTGAGCATGTTCACTCACGGCTCAAGAGAGCGCTTGGCTGCACGTCCTTCTCATAATATGAGGGGGTTTTTTTAGCAATAACAAATTGGAAGTCAGAAGTTAATAAATTGATGTGTTCGGAGAAACAGTAGTGATGGTAAAGGTGACTCTCAGGTTGAGTATTCACAAGTTCTTATGACCAATAAAACAGGCACAGAAAATGTAATTTCTTCTTGCTATTAGAAGACTATTTTGAAATTAATGGGGAAACAAGCAGTGGGAAGGGTGGGAAGCCTTCATCCTTCATCTGGGCTCTCTTCTGCTGGGGATAGGGCAGGTCAGGAGTGGGAAAAGCATCTGGAGCAGCAGATAAGGGGTGATGAGTCAGGGCAGATCAGCTGCAGATTCCAGAGGGCTGATAAGGAGGGGAGGGAGCAAGCAGCTCCCTGGCACCTTCTGAACAGGGGCTGAGCACCCTGGGGCTCGGCCTGGGCAGCTGGAAAAGCCTTGTCCTGGGAAATTGTAGGAGTTTGGGGAGAAATAAACCATGTGAAATGCCGGGGGTAACATGGAGGTTATGAAATGGAACAGCTTTTTAAGGCAAGCCTAGGATCAAGATGTTGCTTTTTACTGTAGTGAGTAAATGTAGTCAGGACTGTTCTTGGGGTCTGAAAGTGTCTAGTGAAAGTTGCCAGGGGATTATTCTTTATGAATTAATCATCAGCACTCTAACAAACAGATCAAGGAATGGTCTGGTCCTGCATGGTTGTTTCTTGACAAAATTAACACCACACAACATGTACGTGGAAGGTAGATTTAATAAAAGTTTTGTGTCAGCAAACTTTCATATCCAGTGGACCTGTCATGTTCACTGAACTGTTCACTGTCATATGCAGTGGACCTGCTTGTTTCTGAGTTTGTAGGTGAAACTCTTCTGTTAGTTCTAGTGGTTTATATCCCAAATGTGACATTTTTAAAAATAAAATAAAGATTTTATTATTCTTACTTGTCTGGCTTCTGACAAATAAAATACTAATTATTTGCTGTCTTCATGTCGTAGCAGCATTACCACTCAGAGTTTCCTGAATTTTGTCAATAATTGTATTGAATATAATTGTATATAAACAGTGAAAATTACTTAAAATAGACTTTTAATGCATTTTTGTCAATAAGGCTGCACCTACTATTTCACCTAGTATTTAGAAAAATTACATGTTTTTTATTTGCTCTGATATACTCACGCAGAAACAAATACTTACATCTCTTGTGGATGTGTATTAATTGAGATTAAACATAAGCTTTCAAGCTTGATAAATTGGAGTGAGATGTGTAGGTGACTCTGGGTGTTATTTGTATTTTCACAGTGAAAGCAAGTTGAATACATTGGTACAGAAACTCCATGACTTCTTGGCTCACTCGTCAGAAGAATCTGAGGACGCAAACTCTCCTCCAGCATTATCTAAAACCAAAAGTATAGGTAAGAAGACATTTTATGTTCATTTTCAATGTATATGTGATTCTAAAGTCAAGTAACCTGATGTTATTTCACTTTATCACACTTCACTGGGGTAATTATACCAAGTCTTAATGTGATTTAGGTGGTGATAGCTTGATAAATGCACAGTAGGCCTTTGATACAATATTTATTTCAATTCTGAATCTTTCTAAAGGTGAAAAAATCTAATCTTCTGGTAATTTCCCTTCTCTGAAACATGAGATATCAGAGACAGGTATTTGCTGTGCTAGGAGTTCCTTATTCAGTGTTCCTGAATTTACAAATGCAGTGTCTTGGTTTTTCTGCTGTAGTAAGGTTTCTGCAGTCCTTGCAGGTGAGGGAGAAGTTCTGGAGATCATGCTTTCATGGTAATTTGAAAAAGATTTCTACATATAATCTGGAAACCTTTTTAAAAGAAAACAATACTTTTAAAAAAACTAGAGTCCTACACTAGGTCAAAATTGGAAATTTTTACTTCCAAGTTAAAAACAGGTAACAAAGTTTAACCACTCAGATGAAAGTGAAATTATTTAATGTCTGTACTGAATAAAATCTGTTTCCAAATTTAATTGGTTAAATTTGTTTATTAATTTCACTTGGACTGGATACAGGTGCAAAACCTTTCAATCTGTACTGCTTAATGAGCTAAAAGTTGTGTTCATGTGGTGGAATGCAGAAGAGTGTACTGGCTATATTAGGGTTTATTTTCAAACTCCTGTTGTCTTAAGTCACAGGCTTTCTGGTGTGTAGTTTTTATCTTTTAATGTTTTGTTTAGGGAGAGAGTGTGCTGCTTGTGGCACTCACCTCCTCATGTCAGCATCAAACTGAACTGTTAGCACAGAAAAAAGAAACTACTCATGTGGTGCTTCAGCAGAACAGTAAAATAAATTGTGATGTAAATGCATCTCAAAGTGAAATTTTTCTGAGGAGCACAGTGGGAAAAAGAAATCTCCCTTTATCCTCTGTAGTTAAAAATTAGCATTTGGTTCCTTGCCGTAAAGCACGGATTGTCTTTGAAATGGATACACTTGCAAATTCATAGCAGACATATTTTAGTGTTGGTTTTGAGATCTAAAAGAACATATTAAAGTTGAAGAGTCAGGATTAAACACTTAAATATTAGGAAATGCCAGAATTTACTATGCAAATTTCCTTCCCTTCCCAATGTTCTGTGCATAACAAAAATGTCTTTCTCAACTGTGCTTGCTTTTCTTTTTTTTTTTTTAATTCAGAGGGTGCTCATTATGAGCAGAAATTATGGATGTGACTGGGACCAAATCAGATTTATTTAGTAATAGATCTTGTTTTGTTCCAGCATTTGGAGGATATGTGAACTATTGGGTAGAGTGTTGTGAGGAGGAAGATGATGATGAAGGTAGTTAAGTGTGGCCCAGGAAGGCTGGATGTTAGAAATCAGTTGGCTATTAGCTGATATTACTTCATCTTTTGTCCCTGACACACATAGAGGTCAGTTAAAACAGGAAACAATATTTGCTTTATAGCCTTAATAATGTTCTTTATCCCCTCTGCCCTGGGACTGGATGTCTCCCTCCATTCCACTGCATGGCTGCCAGCAGCAGAGTCACAGAGAGCTCAGGAGAGCCAGCCTGCCTGCTCTTGTTCCAAGAGTGGAGCAGCAATCCCAGGGGAAGCTCTGCTCCCTGCCAGCCCTGGGGTGGCTGGGCAGGAGCAGCCAGGTCAGCACTGAGCTGGGAGGGGTGGCTGCAGCACACGGGGCCCTTGGTGGGCACAGGGAGAAGCTGGCACTGCAGCACGTTCAGCTGCTTTTGGAATAGCACATGTGCATCAGGCTGAGTGCAGAGTCTGCACTCGCTGGGGCTGCCAGAGCAGGGGAAGCTCTGCCAAGCTCTCCAAGCTGGTATTTTCCATGGGTTTATCACTTGGGCAGAGTTGGTCAGGAGTAGAAGGTGGGCAATATCCAAGCTCCAGCAGAAATGTCACCTCCTTCCACCTCTCAGGTGCCTCCTTCACAATAGGGAATGCCTGAATATTCCAGAGAAGACGTTTCAGGTCAAAACCTGAAAAAAAGGCCAAAACCATTGTCTTCCATTTTGTATTTCCTCCTTCATGTGTGGAAATGGCTGGATTACTGCAGTTTACTCAGTTCTGCAGAGGTCAAACATCCACTATTGAATTCTCTAAGCTATTCAGTTTTTTCAAAGTATAGAAGTAAATTGTTTTGGTGTTCCCCAAAACTGAAGTTTAAGGATAAAGAAGTTGGAGTGCTAGTAGTCTTCTCTTAAAAATCACAAATTATCCTGATAAGTATCCTGTAATTATACTTCCTACTCAGTAGCATCTGTTAAAATCCTGCTGTTCTTAAACTTTTGGAGCAACTTCATACAAGAATCATTCAATCACTGAACTCCAAACTTTCCCGTCTATTTCCAAGACTGGTGGATTGGACCAGTGCCAATAGGTTGCAGGTCTTTTGGCTTTATATTCCACACTTGCCAAGCTTGAGAAAGAGGAATTCTCATCAGAACTTGGATCAAATGGGATTTTTGTCTGTGGTTCCATGATCCCAGGTTTAGTACTTTGTTTCTTATGTCAGATGTGTGAGAGAAAATACTTGTAGTAAATTCTTAAGAGATCAGCAAAAATGCACTGATGATACTATTTCTGCATGCAGTTGCACTTGCAGTGCTTCAGTATTTCTTCACCAACAGCAAGGCTCCCAGGGACTGAAGTGAAAGGGGTTTCTGAATGATTTCTGTAAAATGTATGCCACACAATGGAATGTCGTTCCTGTTGTGCACCCTTTTGTCTCTGGAAGTCACATTTATCTCTGTCCAGGCTGGTGAAACATAAGCAATGCTGTGATGTGCAATGTGAAGAATTTCTGATGTTCCTTGAATTTCTCTCCATAGGTAAAAGTAGGGAATCTAAAGGAAGTCCAGCTTCAATGGAGAACAATAAGGACGAGGTAAGAAGAAAAATGCTTTTGAGTTCTAGTTGCATGTCTAGTGCACAGTGGCTGAGTTCACTGAAGTTCATTATGGCTTTCGCAATAAATACTTCAATAATACTGTCAGAAGCACCCATTAATGTCATCCTCCTTCATCCTGTTACTCACATAACAGTAGGTACTTAGTTGTTCTTTAGGCAAATATGCTTCCTTTTTGAAAAAAAGTAAAAATGCACACACTGGATCTATGTTAAACTGAGCAGAAATTTTTCATGTGGTGTTTTACTTCTGTCTGTTCTCCTATTGGAAACGTTCTGGTGGACAAGATCTTAACATTGTAGAGAAAACACAAGTGGCAGTGTCAGGCCTTAGTTTCCTTTACTACTGTAAATTCAGGTGTTTTCAACTGCTTGGATCTGTGATCCGAGTGCAAAAACAATTGAGCAAATCCGTTTTGCTCTGAAGGCAGCCAGTGCTTTCTGGCACGTGAGCCACGCTGCAAGAGTCTGCTCTGCTGGCAGTTTGTGGCTGCAGGCTGCTGCTCCTGAGTGCCAGGGCCCTCTGCAAGGGTGTGTTGGACAAGGGGCTTGGTTTCTTCACATTGCAAGAAGAACATTCCCAAACCTGTGTGAGCTGCTGACTTCTGACCTGAAGCTCCAGGGATTCAGTTGAACTGAACTGGCATGACTGTTGAAATTGTCACTTGTAGTTACTGCTTTTCCTGCTGCTCTTTTTAAATTAATTTTTTATAAGGGCACTGGTGATTTCTGAGTTGTTTCTAGTTAATGCAAGACACTGGTTTTTGGCAGTTCCCTTGGATATAAATGTGTTGACTTTTACATTCTTTTCTTGTTTCTAGGGAAGTAGTTCTTCGGAAAGAACCAAATCCTTAGGATCATCCCGTTCCAAAAGGTTGGTTTGGGAAACAAAAACAAATAAATTAGTTTTTGGGTGTGGGAAGCTATAGAAAAGTGGATACACTGTATAAAATATTTTTGGTAAAAAAATCAATGAAGTTATGGAGTGCTGGTAAAACAAATGCCTCATAGTACATTTAAAATTCAAACCATTTCTCAGAATGAAAGGTTAAGATGCTAAAGCTTAATTATTATTTACAAAGGAAAGATCATTCCATATCTTCAGGACAAAGGAGTTTATAAAAGAGTTCCTTCAGTCTTGCTATTTGTACATGTAGGATTCTTCCAAAGATGTAATTTGGGTCATACAGAAGAAAAAGTTTTATGTGCTTCACTATTGGGAGAGTGCAGCATCAGACTGTGCTGTTGAGTTGTCCTGTGCAGAAACTGCCATTTGCTGTATCCTTGCTTTTTCTTTTTCCTTCTTTGATCTGAAAAGTATGGAGTCAATTGTTTATCAACTGCTTGAACCTACACAAGACAAATTATTTGTGTCCCAAGTAAGAGCAGACTTAGTCCAGTCAAACTCCTCCTCATCTGCTCTCAGCTGGTGCTCACTCCAGTTCTGTCCTCTGATTTTTATTAAATCCCAGTGAACAGTGCAGGGAGTTGAGCTTTCAACAGCTCCCTTAGTACTGCTCTTTAGAAGTCTGGATCTCTTTTCTCTCTCTTTTTTATCAAAGTTGCTTTATTTCATCATGTCCGCTGGCATTAATATTCTTCAGTCTCCTTTTTATGTTTGTCTTGATGCCATATTTGCAAGTGTGGTTTTATATTTGGCTTTAGTTTCTCCCTCATCTTTTGAATCCAGTGTCCTGCTGAACTCTTTTCATTTATATACTTCTTTAGTCCTGTTTTTTGCCTCCTGTCTTACCACTAAAGGGATTTTCACTCATCCATTTGTTATGCTGTACCTTATATTGACAAAACCGGTGTCTTACAGTAGTTCATGCATTGCCTTCAGACTACTGAAAAATTTGCTCTATATTTTGTGTTATTTTCTCTCCATCCTGACATAGTAAATTCATTCATTTTCATGGATTTAAATTGTTTGTGTGGATCCTTTTGTTCAGTAGTCAGCTTTTTCATTTCTTTCTGCATTTCCTTCATTTTCTTGTCAAGATGCTTTTTGTAATTTGCTAATACCTGTGTGTTCTCCTTGTGCTGCCTGTTATACCTGGAATGATGGATAACATTCATGAGCAGACATTCACCTGTGTTTCATTTAGACTTTTTTCCTGGAATTGTGACTTTCTTAAAAATCCATCACACCTCGATTTTACAACAAGAAGATTTTATTAGTATAGACTTCTGTTTCACGTGGGAGGGGAGAAATCCTGTTCCAAACCAGAAAATTATCCTACAATTGTATAGTAATAACTTAGAGCATCCCAGCTCATCTTGTCTTTAATTTAAATAGAACGTCGTATTTCACAGTTCATATGGTATTTTGCCTGCAAAGCTTACCTGAATTGCAGTTTGTACTGTTTGTCAGAGCATGGGTTGTTTTCTGTCTGTGCAGGAAACCTACAGTTGTAACAAAATATGTTGGGTCAGACGATGAACAAATTGCAGATGAAACTGTAAATGAAGATATTTCAAATGAGAACTCAGAGAATGATGTAGATATGCAAAGCTTGCCTAAAGGTAGGTCATGTCTTCTTTTTTTTTTCTTTTTTTGCTTCTGAATTCAGCAAATTAGCCCAGATTATGATGCAGCATAAATAATTTACAGAATTATTTATTTATCACATTATTTAGAATGCACATGTATCAGTAAAATCCCTCTTGAAGGTCCTGTTGGTTCTCTGCTCACAAAAATGAGGAACCTGAGCACTTTCAGTTTGGAACCCAGCAGATTTTAATCTGTGGGTGCACAAGGATGTGCTGGTGGCTTAATTTCAAATGCCTGCTGACATCTGTATAAAACGATCACAGAACAGGAGAAATTATTTATTATGTTTTGCAGGAGTCTCAAGCTCTGTCACTTGGAGGTCTTATTTTACTGTTCTGTCTTTGAGGTTATTAGCAATTAGATCAACAAAAGCAAAACTAACTCTGGGGGGAAAATGCCATTATTGGATCAATTTTTAAGCACATTTTTTAGAAATAGTTAATACTATAGGCCTGCATCCCTCTGCTCTTAGCTGCAGTTGGATTAATCTCCTCCATTTCTTACCTATGAAAGTTACAGGAAAAATTGCTGCTGTTCACTGTGTGTGTAGCAGTATTGAGAGCAGTCACTCTAAAATGATTTTTTCAGAATATTTTATTTTCAGTGTCCTCACAACAAAACTGGGCTCTTAAATAGGAAAGATGTGGTTTTTTTCCTTCACGTAATTTTGATTAGTACTTTATTTAAATGAAAATGTCAGATTTTGTATATTGGTAAAGACAAAGCAGGTTTTATTCTATTCCTTTTTTGTGTTTTTCATACTGAAATAAATGAAGATGAGGAAACTGAATAGGAGGGGGAAAAGAGAGAGGAGCATAGGGTTTTGAGGGATTTAAGTGATATCCTTTATTGGTAACAAGTTCCTGTCCTGCACCCCCCAGCAGTGTGACAATCCTGTTGTGCAAGTGCCACAGCAGAGCACAAAGAGCAGAGTTTGCTCCTCAGCCCATTCAGTCCTTGGCTTCTGTCCTACAGCTACAACACAGATGTAGTTTGAAATGTGTGTGTTGGTTTTGGGGTTTTGTTTTTGTTTTTTTTCTTTTTCTGTGAACATCTGTGCATTCAAAACTATGTTGAGTTTTAGTCAACAGGTTGCACTTTTTTTGTTGGCTTTATTAATCAGAACTTTTGCACTTCACTTGGATGTGTAATGGTTTCCAATTTCTAAATAAAATTATTCTAGGTACAGTGGTTGTACAGCCTGAGCCAGTGCTGAATGAAGACAAAGATGATTTTAAAGGGCCTGAATTTAGAAGCAGAAATACCGTTAAAATGAAACCTGAAGCTCCCAAAAAGCGTGGAGGTAAATACAATTTAAAACATCTGTTGAAATGGGTTAAAATTGTTGCTTATGACCACATTTGGTACATCTAAAAATTGTCCATATTTCTGATAAATTATCCTAAAAATACCTCCACTCTTCTGGCTTTTTGTTCATTAAGGATTTTAGCTGATAGAAATTAGCCTCCATTGCTGCCCCTGCAATGCAGCAGTGAAAGCTAAGATTAGTTCCCACTAAACTCCTTCTTTTCAATAGGTACAGGATGCTTCATTAGGTGCAGTTGCTTGGTTGCAATCAGGTGTTAGAGGTATTCCTTTTTTAAAGGAATTGGAACACCATTGATGCAGGAACGTTCACTGACTGATCAGGAAAGCAACAGTTTGAGCAGGGACATGTATGGGCAGATTATCCATCAGTGAGCTAAGAAGAATCCTGAACCCTCAAACAATACAAAGACTTCTTTCTTTTGCTTTGAAATTGTGGGAAATTCCCTACCAGTGGGCCCTTCCAAGGATTACCAGCTGCTATGTCAGCTGATTTTCCATAGCTGCTGCTAAAACTGGGAAATTAGGCTGATTATAATACTAACAGAAATTAATTTCTCTCTCTTTTTTTTTTTTTTTTCCCAAAAGCAAAGGGAAGGAGGGAAGATTATATATAACCTAGCCAATAAGAAGGTAGATACTTTTGTTAACCCTGCTGGCAATATCTTAGCTCACACACCTCCAGCAGTAGCCAGGGTATTCATACGAACAGCTCTTGCACACGCTCTTCATGCTTCCCATTGTATCATTTGAGGTCTTTGCTCTCCTTTAAAGGAATTTATGGAGTGCTGTTTCTGTGGGTGGAGAGAAATGTGAGTGTGGAAATGTGCTTGTGCACATACCTGGCCTCATGTGGTGTCAGTGACATTTGGAGCATTGATGTTTTCTCTAAATTACCAGCTTTGGAAGTCGGTTCTGTTTTATTCGTGCAAGATGTCCTGTTCATATAAGAATGCTTTTTCCATTTGTGCTGAAAACAATTCTACATATGGTCCAGTAGAACTCTTCAGGGGTACAGTGTTAAAAAGATAAGACACTTGTGCATGAGCTTTGTGGCCTGTGTCTGCATCCCCAGGACAGTTTGTATCACCTGCCCTCCCAGCTGTTTTAATCTCCATCCATAGGGAATTTGCAGGCCTTCCTTTGTGTATCTGGACTGGTTATTCATGTGCTATGCCTGACATATTTATTTTTTAATTTATTGCATTTCTAGTAGGAATTATATGTCCTGTGTGTATTAGAAATAGAGGTAGAAGCAGATCTCTGGCCTTTCTAGCATGCAAATGCTCTTACCTAAGACTGTAAGAGGCATTGTGTCATTATTCTCAAGTTTTGTATCTGCAGTGTGGTTATGGTTGTACTTTTGCTAATAAATTCTGTTAGGAATGTTTTTAGCCAAGTATTAATGAATTAGTGGTAGTTTAATTTCTTTGGGTCATCATCATTTGTAGTAGTAATATGGTTTACAAAGGTTTGACTCAAAAATTCTCTCTTTTCCTGGTGCCAGCTTGCAGGTTTGAGGAAGGAGGCCATAGTGCTTCCCCTTGGTTGTGGAAAAGAGGGAAGTGGTTCAGGGCTTGGCAGGGAATCTCACGTTCTCCCTGGGTTGGCTGGGCCCCTCAGAGATTCCTGCAGCAGTTTAAGGGCTGTGGTGTGTGTCAGGCTTGGATTCTGTGCTGCAGAATGTGGGATTCTTTCCCGAGGAGTGTGATGGGATGGATGAGTTCATCCATGGTCACAGCAGCATTTGAAAGAGGGGCTTGCAGGTCCACAGGGTCTGCAGGACATACAGTCAGGAATGGCTGGAGGGTGCAAACACATCCTGTATCCAGAATTTCAGAGTTAGGAGTGTGGATCAGCTGTTTCACTGCCCCCTGAGCCATCTGAGGCTGTGCTTCAGCAGCAGATTGCTGGGAGCTTGTTCTGTGTCTTGAGAATGTTCCTGCAGCTCCTTAGCATGCTGGTGTTGGAGCTTGGTTCTGATTCTGGAGTAGTGATTATTTAATTTAAAAAAAAAAGAAAAAAATACAGAGTCTGTACTCAGATTGTAATCATTAAATTCAACTGTTTGAGTTAATTTCCTTATTAACTTAATCACTGAGCATGACAGCAAAGGACAAGTCACAGTTCAGTGATCTCTTATCAACCCCGTATCTGCTTGATCCAAATTGGCCTTTTGGAAGTGCAGAACTCACCAATGATTTTGCTTTTTCTGCTGTTGAAAACAAAAAGATCTCCAGGTATTAGTTAAGAGCCTGGCATGGTGTGAGCCTGCCATGCCCAAGTTCACCCCTACTGAAGTGCAGTGGGGGGTTGGCGTAAAAAAAAAAAGCTTTTTTGATCAAATGTGGATGCAGCAGCAAAGTAGTGCACACACCATGGGAGCAATCAGCAACCTGGGGAGAACGTGTGGATTACAGCAGAAGTGTAGTTTCAGAAAAACCCAAAAACCACTGTCAAGAAGGGGACAAAATATGAGAAAAGGTTTTTCAGTCACTATTACAGTGATTACTTGCATTTTCTGTGAGAGTTTTCTGTGTTTTTCTTTGAGAAACTAAAACTGTTTGTGAAAGAAATGCCATAATACAAACATGAATTGCAGTGGTATTTGTTGAACTAAGATTAAATGGGGAATGTTGTCCAGAATATCAGAACTGCTCTGAAAGAATTTTAGTGATGACTCTAATTTAGGTGTGTTTTCATGAGGTGACCAGTTAACCCAACTTAAACCTCTCAGAGGGAAAGAATTGTGCCTTGTCCCCAAGTGCAGCATAAAAATCAGGGGGAAATTCAGTCTTAAAATGGCAGATGGTTACAGAAAGATTTCTCTGGTGCTGGGTGGTGCAGAAACAAGGGCCTATGAAAAACCTATGAAAGGGCCAGAATATTGCAAGAAAATGCAATAGGTGTATACAGATTTCTTAAATGAGAATGAAAACAATTAATGTGTTGTTTGTAATCCTCTCCATAGAAGAAGGACTCCATGGAATTGTGAGCTGTACAGCTTGTGGGCAGCAGGTGAACCATTTTCAAAAGGATTCAATCTATAGACACCCTACACTAAAAGTGCTTATTTGTAAGGTATGTGGTAAACAGTTCTGTTTGGTTTTGTTTCAAAATGTCACATTCGTTGGTGTGGGTGGGATTTCTATGGGAGTAATTCTTGTTCATTAGTTGACAAAGTTTTCAGTCATTAACTGTTACAATTAAGGAAAATAAAAGGAGGAAAAAGAAGCAAATATACTGAGTTCATATTCCTTTTTTCTTATATCCCTGTTAAACTGGTGGTGGTTTCTTTGTTATTTACTTGTACAGCTTTAAGGGTATAATCTTAGTGAATTTTTAATGTAAAACGATCTGTCTGAAATTTCTGCCTACTCATAATGTATTTTAAGAACAGATTCAAGTCTGCATCTCCTGGTAGAGCATTCCATGCAAAACAGCACTGAAATAAGGATCAGAAAAGTAGCTTCAAAGCCATCTCTGTTTCTGCCAGCTTCTGGACTGTTTTAAGTTAGGACAGCTTTGCAATGCTGGTCTAATCCACAATCTGAGTCTTCAGCTGTGTGGCTTCCTGGTGGCTCCACACAGGCCCTGAGTTGGTGGCAGAGGGAAGAGGTGGGACAGGGCAGGAAGGAAATGTCCCTGCCTCCTGCTGTGGAGACCTCTGTCAGCTTTCAAAGAGCTGCACAGATCTCTCTTGCATATTTCTCTAGTGATGGAGATTTTGTAATTATAAGACATTGCTAAAGATAGAGATACAGTTCTGTGTTATAATGTACATGGAGCATTTCCCTGCTCTTCCTCCTCCTCCTCCCCACTTCCTCGTAAGTGTTACAGACTCAGCCATGCCCATCTAGGCTGGTTCTTCTCTGCATTCTGGCTTGTTTCTTTTACAAAAATCAGCTCACAAGGTGACCTTTTCCTACTTCCACTGGAGTCCCAGCTCGTGTTCCTGGCCTTGCCACATCCGTGTTCCTGCAGTGTGACCTGGGTCATTTTTGTAACCTGGTCAGGCTGTTGGGCTCAACAGCAGCTCTTGATTGGGAGCTCTGCTACCTGAATTACATCAAGGGTTGTTCCCCTTGATTTTCTCTGGTTTTACTGAATTGAACATGGCCTTATGTGATGTGAGAGCGAGGAATGGAAGCCCCTCATCTTTATTTCTGTGCCTAGTTCTGCCGTTATTTTTCTCCTACTTAGGTAAAAGTCCCAGACCTGAGAAAATGTTTTCCTTTGACTGTGAATGTTCCATCAAGTGTCTAAACATCAGATTTTACTGGGGTTTTGTTGACTTTGCTTGTTTGGATGGTTTAGTTGAACAGATGTACAAGTCTGTTCCAGATAATGGGGCATCATGATTGTCAATTCAGGTGATGAAGCCTCTTCTGCACTCTGAATTATATTAATAATGCCTGTTCAAAGCAGAGCTACAAGTCTGGGAGAACAGTAACAGCAGGAAAAAAAACGACACCAAACCTTCAAAATTTGGTGTCAGCAATTCAGCAGCTGAAGCCTTCAGTACTTCTACCTGAGTCATTTGTATTTTTTTTATTACTATTACCAAATTTTCAAATGAAGGTGCTTTGTTTGCACCTGGATATGAAATTCTTGAATGTTAACATCATGATAAATACTGAAGACTTTTTAATCTAAAGCCTTATGGCATGACATGGTAACATATGGAGCATCCAACTGAAAATTGTAATTCATGTGGGATTAATTGTGTCAGGGAGGATGTGGTGCTGATTTACCTAGGAAATAGATGGAAGAAAGATTCAGACTGGAGAGAAGTATTCAACTGATATTCTAAAATACGCAAATATGCAGCCATCAAACAAAAGCCTGTTTTAATTTTCAAGCAAACCTTGAGCCATCTAAATAAGTCATGGTTTGGGACCATGAAGGATGTTTTTTAGATTAAAACAAATGTAAAAGACTTGGAATGCTGAAGACCTTGCAGCTGCTGCTTTTGCTGGCTTGCTTCGAATGCACACTGAAATCTAATGAACTGCTGAAGCCCAGTTGAGATTTAATAAAGAGTTCCTTGTCCTCTCTCTTTCTTTACAGACTTGCTACAAATATTACATGAGTGATGACATCAGTCGTGATTCAGATGGGATGGATGAACAGTGTAGGTAAGTGTGCAAAAACTGCAATGTGTGCAAAATGGGAAAGTGTACAAAAACTGCAGTGTGTGCAAAAACTGCAATGTGTGCAAAATGGGAAAATGTACAAAAACTGAAGTAACACCCACAGCTCTACTGATTTGGGGGTCTTTTTTCTTGCTGTTGTGACAGTATTGACAAGACATGTACATAAGAGCTGAATCAACAATTATTTGTCAACAAGAAATACTGAACCTCAGGATTTTTTTAACTGTTTGTTTTAGTAATGAACAGGAAAACAATTTAAAAGAAATGTGAGAACAAACTCTTTAATATATATCACATTGCTAGTTAAATAACATGCCACCTTCCTAAAACCTTAAAGATGGGTCTAGAATCTGACATTCTTAACTTTGAGCTGGAGAAACTCAGTTCTCCAGATGCATTTCCCACTTTTTAAACACCAGGGAGCTTTTCTGTCCTTATGTCAAATATCTAAATGTGTAATTCAGTAAAAATTGTGCAGTCTGTGGTTTCCCTGAGCTTATTGTCCACCACTTTTCAGTCTTTGTGTACTGCAGTAGTAATATATGAGTTAAGGCTAGAAAGACTGAAGCTTATTAATTTTGCTGTCAAATAAATCACAGATTTTCAGAAGAAACAGGGAAAAAAAGATGTAATTAATTTTTTCTCTTTTAAGAAATCAGTGCTGAAATTCTGTTGGAAAATTACTGATCATTTCAGCTTTGTGAGGTGTTAATTTAAAACATGAATTTTCTGACTTTGCAATTCTCCAGTGAGCTTTTCAGTAACGGTTTCAAGTAACGGATATCTGTTCATCACCTGAATTTTTAAATATGTGAACTTAATAATGTATCGCCTTGTTGACGTGGAGACAAAACTCTTACCTTTCTCAATCTCATTGCAGGTGGTGTGCTGAAGGTGGAAATTTGATTTGCTGTGACTTTTGCCATAACGCCTTCTGTAAAAAGTGCATTTTGCGCAACCTGGGCCGAAAGGAGCTCTCGACTATCCTGGATGAAAATAACCAGTGGCACTGCTATGTTTGCCATCCAGAGCCTTTGTTGGACTTGGTCACTGCTTGTGATAGTGTCTTTGAAAATTTAGAACAGTTGCTTCAACAAAACAAAAAAAAGATGAAAGTTGAAAATGAAAAAAGTAAAATATATGACCACACAGTCAAGTTTTCTCCAAAGAAAAATAATGCAAACTGTAATGGGGAAGAAAAAAAATTAGATAATTCATATTCAGGTTCACTAACATATTCTTATAAAGCACTAATGGTGCCAAAAGACTTGCTTAAGAAAACAAAAAAACTGATTGAAACTACAACAAATCTGAATTCTAGCTTTGTAAGCTTTTTGAAAAATGCTGCAGAAAATGTAGAAATAAGCCCAACTGTGCAACTGTGCCAGCTGAAAGCTTTTAAATCTGTGCTGAGTGACATGAAAAAAGCTCATCTGTCACTAGAAGAAGGCCTGAACCTGGAGATTCAAGCACTGAATGTTAAAATCAAAGATAAAAATACCAAAGAGAAAAAGCCAGAGGCTAGATCAGAAAAAAATGAGGTGAAAAAAGATGAAGGAAAGGAACATGTGGCATTAAAAGAGGATGACACCACACAGACACGGAAAAAAGTCGTGTCGGAGCGGCCTGACAATGAGCCCATGGATCAAAGTGTTCCCTCAGTGGAACAGACAGATAACAAGGCACCTCCTGGGGAGGAGAAGAAGTCTGGCAGAAATGAAGAACCACAGTATGAGCCCAATAGCACAGAGGCTTTAGACATGGATATCGTGTCCATCCCCTCATCCGTTCCTGAAGATATATTTGAGACTCTGGAATCTGCTATGGAGATTCAGATGCCGTCAGATGAGCAGGACAGTGGGAACGCAGCAGCAGATCATGAGACTCCAAATTCAAATACAAAAGTGAACACTCCTGTGAAAGATACCAAAGGTGGTACCAAGCTAAAATCGTCGGCTAAAGGAACAAAAGAGCTCATTGTAAAATTGACTCCTGTTTCCCTTTCTGAGTCCACAGTTAAAGGTGAAGGTCAAGACAGCAGCCTAGAAAAGGAGTGTAAAGATGTTGATGCATCTAAAGATGTTGATGCATCTAAAGATGTTGATGCATCTAAAGATGCTGATGCATCTAAAGATGTTGATGACTCTAAAGACGTTGATGCATCTCAACCTGGGGCAGCAAACTCTGATTCTGGAAAACAAAACCACAGTGCTGGCAGCGAGCTCTCCACAGAGAACGACGCTGCGCCCATGGAGGACTCGGATCTCCGGAGGTCGCCCCGTGTCAAGACCACCCCTCTGAGGCGCCCCACGGACATCAGCCCCCTGACATCCAACTCAGAAGAGGACAGCAATGACACGAGCAATGAAAAACAGAAGGGGAAAGCATCCAAGCAACCCAGGAGGAAAAACGATACAAGAAATACTTCTGACAGTGCTGCTGATGGTCCCAGTCCCAACAAACTTTCCAAATCCAAAAAGCCATATGACTTAGATCACAGCTCGGACTCTGATGAGGTGCCAGTTGTCCTTAAAGAAGCAGGAATGATGAGTCGCAGCTCCTCGGACAGTGAGAGCAACAGTGAAGCACCAGCAAAGAATCAAAAGACTTCAGATTTTCAAAAGAGTCAACCAGTGAAGGATGAAAATGGGAAACGAAAAAGGAAGAGTTCCAGTTCTGGTTCAGATTTAGATGCTAAAACAGGCAAATCAGCTAAAAATGCTGCTGCTGCTAAAAAGAAACGACAAAACTACTCTGATTCTTCAAACTATGATTCTGAGTTGGAAAAAGAGATACAAATGTTGAGTAAAATTGAGGCTGCAAAGAAATCGAAGAAAAAATTCTCAAGAAAAGATGATAGTTATGATTCCTCTGATGAAGAGCAGAGGAAAAAAGTAAGCAGTAAGAGAAAGGTAAATCTGAAGAAGAAGAGAGGTAAATCTGAAGAAGACGATGATGATGGTGAGAAGTCTTCTCCAGAGAAGGAAATTAATCACTCTTCTAAAGATAAAAAAACAGGTAAGAGGTCAGCTGCTAAGGACAAGAAAAGCAGAGACTCAAAAGAAAAATCTGCAAAGGGAAAATGTGATGAGTCATCTGATGCTGAGAAGTCTTCACTGGAAAAAGAGGAGAGTCCTGAAGTTAAGAAGAAGGATTTGAAAAAGAAAAAGGCACAGGATGATTCTTCTTCTGAGAGTACTGAGAAATCGGCAAAGAAAGAGCACAAGTTGGAATCTTCAAAAGACAGACTCAAGAACAAAAAAGGATCAGAAAGCAAAGCAAAGAAATCTGAAAAATTGAAAAAGAAAGGTTTCAAGAAAGAACAAGATGATTCCTCTTCTGATCTTGATAAGTCATCTCCAGAGAAAGGAAGTAGCAATTCTTCTGAAAATGACAAAATTAAAAAGGAACCCGTGTTTACAGAAAAGAGAAAATTGAGAGAGAGAGTAGCTAAAAGAGTACACATTGATTTATCCTCTGATACTGAGAAATCTCCCCAAAAAGAGGAGAGTTCTGATGATGATGCCGTGCGGCGTAAGAAACGAACTGAAACGAAAGAAAAGAGGAAAATAAGCCACAAAAAGAAGATTTCCAAGAAAGAACAGAATGACTCATCCTCTTCTGATGAGGAGTCTTACGAAGACACTAAGAAAAAGGTTAAAAGAGGATCAGTAAAAGAAAGTAAAAAGAGCAACTTAAAAAAGAAAGTGGCAAAAAAGAAGGTGGTTGTCACTTCCTCTTCCCAGTCTGATAAGGAGGAAAATGATGATCAGAATTCCACAGGCGATGGAAGCAGCGACGAGCAGAAGATCAGGCCCGTGACTGAAAGCTTGATGCTGTCTGCTGACGCAGGATTTTGTCAGTCATCAGGTGTGCAAAAGTTGTTCATTTGGGTGACATTTAATAATCTAGAAGCAAAAAACCCTCATCAGTTGGTAATTATACATTTAAGTGTTTGCAGCCTGGCGGGTTTTCTGATACGGATTCGGAAGCACATGTTGTAAAGTTCCCTTCCAGCCAAACTATCCTGTGGCTGTGAGATTCCACAATTTCAGTTTGTGCAGCTTGTGCCTTGAGGAAAAAAATGAAGTCATTGTAAATGAAGGTGCTTTGGAAACTCCAGCCAGTATTTACAACAGGTACAGCCTTGGAGTCCAGCTTTCCAAAGCCTGGCCCTTGCCTCACCTGCCCAGGGACTATGTAGCAGAAACTGGTTGGAAGGAGTAGATAATGTGACCTCACATTTATCACCTCCTGTCTGTGCACTGGATGTGATGCTGGAGACCTGTGGCATTGTAATATACATTTAAAAATGAAATAAATTATTTTTATGCCTCTCAAGAGCCATGTAGGCTTAGACCAGCTACTTAGAAATCTGCCATTGTTTTCATATGTTGTGTCTGTGTGCAGATAATACTGGGGATTGTAGGGCTTTTCTGCGAGTGCTGCCTTATCAGTGTTTTCCCCAGTGATGTCACTGCTGGGGGAGATTGCAGATAATTCATGGTTTGCATAGTAATGAGTTGGTTTTTCGCAATGGTCACTGCCACAGCCATTAAAACTCTCGTGTAGACAGGTAATTGATGGCACTCAGTGACAGTTTTCAGCAGCACCGGACCATCAGTGAAAAATGCCTTAAAAATGGAGTTGCTCATGTACAGTTCATGGACTTGTATTAAAATGGCCCAAGAGGAGAAAGGTTTTAATTTATCAGAAGGTGTCTGAAGTACTGGGAGCTGTTTCACTGGCAGGTCACAATGGAAAGATTGGATCATTATTGGAGAGATGGATAGCAGGGTACAAACTGAACAAGGTTGTGGTGTGGCATGATTGACAGGAGAGTTAGACAGGAGAGAGAGAAGTGGTGTGGTTTAGATTGGAGACAGAATGCTGAAAATGGGGTGTGTGAATTTCTGTCTGCACATCATCTCACGGGCAGTTTTGGGGGGGCTGAGCCCAAATGGGGGGGCTGAGCCCAAATGATGTGTGCCCAAAGGATGAGAGGCAGTGGATACAGCATTTATCAAGGAAAACTGATACAGATACTGGAGTATTCTTCCACTGAGCATGGTCAAAGCTTGTGACTGGTTGCCCTCTTGAACTTCAGAATCTTTGTCCTTGGAAATGCTCAAAACTTGTCTGGCCAAGACCCTGAGGTAACTGACCTGACTTTGGAGTTAGCTTTGCTTTGAGACAAAAGTTGGAGTAGAGTTAGAGTTGATGTTGGAGTAGAGCATGTCCAGATGTCTCTTTCAGCTTTAGTTATCATTTGAGTCTGTGAAATTCTGCCTATGTTAGTGTATTTTCAGAGGAGAAGAATGTGGCCTTTGTCTGCAGTTTGCTTTTGGTTAATAGGTGAATTAATAAAACAGTCTGATCTGTGTCTGAATAAGCTGTGTATTGTAGATTGATCATAGAATGAGGCTTAGGATCTGGTTTAACCAACAGGATACTTTTACTTCTCTACATGAGGGACTTTCTGTGATCACCTTGGAGTGTGCCCCTTGCAGGCTAGTTTTAGTCTAATCCTCCAGTCCCCACAGATAGAAAATAAACAGAAATTATGAATGAGGGAATCTCAGCTCATTGGGATTGCAAGGGTTCTTTCCCTTAATTTCACTACCTAGCAGATTTGTCTGACTTGCATGCAAGATAAAAAAGAGAGAAAAGCAAGAGGAGAGGTCTGAGAATGTGATAGAAGCAATCCAGATTTCTCAGTCCAGCCAGGAGAGTGCAGAGGAGCTCCAGGGCAGGATTCACACTGTGCTGTTCCTCCTCTGCCACGTGTCCCATACTGTTGGCCTTGATGTCCTTTGTACATGAGACAGTGCCATGTAGTGCAGCTGAGTTTGGATATTTGCAGTAAGGATAGCATGTGGAATTCTCAAAATAAAACTCTTTACACACACTCATAGTGTTGAAAGCAAAAATAGGAAGGGTTGGTGTTCTCTGGTACTTCCCTCCTGGCAGCAGGGCAACCCACGGGCTTGGGATGCAGCTCTGTCCTGTGCTTGTTGTGCCTTTTTTTCAGTTTGCACAAACTCACTCGTGGAGCTTCTGACAGAGCAAAGAACTTCTTAGGAAACTTATTTCTGATTCCTGAATAGAGTATTTAGTCTCTTATGTTTTGGTGTAAAATCCTAAATTCACTGTGTGTAATTAGGAACGAGTTGCAAGTTGTGTGTAGTAGTGAGCAAAACTGAAGAAACAAGATTTATTTTGATTTGTCAAGACAGGTAACAGGTAGAAAAGTGGTATCACCAAGCTGTTTTAAAATGGTGATTGTTGATGGAGATGCAGTTCATATGTTTTGCTGTTTGTTGCGCTGTCAAGTATTGTTTATTGTTGTATTTACACACATTAAGTGTTTGCTATTGGGCTTTTTTTTTCAGGAGATGAGGGAGATGCTCTATCAAGGACTATCCCAATGGAGGAGGAGGAAGATGATGATGATGACGACCCTGAGAATAGGTATGATACCCTCCGTAAGGACTTAAAAACGATTAGAGCACAGCCTAGGTGTGGGCGTGAGCCGGCGCAACGGAGGAGCAAGCAGGTGGTAAAAAGCACGGCTGCCTGCCCGGTAAAGACTCGCTCACGGGCCTCCTGCAAGTGTGAACACGGGGCCAGAAAACAGAGGCCCAGAGCCAGGAATGCAAAGCAAACGTTTAGAAGTGGTAGAGCCAGGTGTGCAAAGCAAATGTTTAGAAGTGGTAGCTGACACGCCTGGCCGGGGGGTGTTCCCACAGCACTGCAGTGCTGTCCCACTGGGGTTCCGGGTGCACGTGGGAGGGTGGTGACAGGGGTCTTGCAGGCAGCTCAAAAGCTGCTGCTGCTAAATGTGATTTTCAGCTAGTTGTGGGGAGTAGAAGGGGACCGTTTGCATCTGTGCAGTATGCAGTGCTACAGTATTTTCAGAATTAATTTGGTTATTACTGTTGCTTAATATGCTTTTTTAATTGAAATGCCTTTTCTCAATAAAGAGAAAGCACAAATGTTGGGGAAACCATATTAGATATTTTCAGCTGTTAATTTAACTGAGTTTAAATCCACTAATAAGTACCTGAAGTGACTAATGTGAGTTAAGGCCATGATTCTACAAGCACTGTGCATAGGCTCAATTGGTATCAAAGAGACTAATTACATATTTTAAGTCTTTGCATAGATATTTTCAGAATTGTGGCTTATATGTATTGCCTCAGTTTGGAATTTAATAAAAAAGAATCACTGTAAGATACAGTTAGCTAAGACATGTCATATTTTACCAGTACCATTGTAGCTATCAAAATGAGCCTGGCTAGAAATGTAAAGCTTAATTTCCTAAATGCCCAACATGAAGTGTCACTCAACTCCGAGCCACAGGTTCTTTTTGGAAGTTACTGTAGTTAGACTGAAGAGCTGCTCAACAATTTTTTACACAGTGTTTCAGAAACTGATTTTTTTGTTGTTGTTTTGGCCATGTAGCATGTGTGGGACCAGTTGCTGGTAGAGTCTTTTTCTGCTTCTGAGCCTTACTAGTTTAGAATATGGAATCCTTGTTTCACAGAGTTGTACGTTTTGATATGTGGCTGAAGTACATTTTAAAAATACTGTATTATATCCTTTACAGACCTCAGTTTGGCATCAAAATGCTGCTGCTGAATTAGTTCTTGTGTGTTTTCACATCAAATTTAACCCAGTTATCCGGCTCTTTAAAGAAAGATGCTTTTTAGGGACTTGACAGCACAGGGTCATAAGCAGAACGTGTAAACTTTGGTATAACAAGATTTTTTAAAATCATGTTTTAATTTCAGTCCTGTTTTAATTCTTTTTTTTTTCTTTTTTTTCTTTTTTTTTTTTTTTTTTTTTTTTTTTTTTTTTTTTTTTTTTAATTGTTGTTGTGAGTTTCTGGTTGATAACTAAACCAATACACTTTTGTCAGAAGTTCAGTTTTTGCTGCTCAAACATTTCTGACAAAACTCAGTCATGATTTAGTTTAAGAGCTATATTGGGAAATAAATGAACCTAATTGATAACAAACAGTAATATAAATTCGGGCTCTAAAAATCAGTTTCTGTACTTTGTTTTGAAGCTGCCTCTTTGTTAAGTTTTTATTTAGGGGACCTTCTGAACATCTATTTATGAGATGGAGAGGTATTTTGTCAATAAACAGTGTTGTCAACCTTCAGACATGTTAACTGGTGATGCAGTCTGACTTACCTTCATCATGTGTTGTACTTGGCACCAAAATCAGAGCTATCAACTGTAAAAAGATGGAACAAATTTTGAGGAGTTAAAAACTTGTTCTTCTGTTTACTCAACACAAAGTGTTTAAGTAGTTTACCTACTGATTCAGAGAAGTTGCCTATTTTCTTCCAGGCCAAAGAGGGTACCTAGTACCTGCTGGGTGTTTGTAGTGTGGGAACTCTCCTGTTTGCAAGTCTCTAGTTTAGATGTTCTGTTATTTGCATACCTGGAGATGTGCATGACATGAATATTAATAGCCTTGAAATCATCTTTTTGCCGAAATGCAATATCCAAGTGGGTCATACTATGCTATACAGTGCTGTATGCTTTCATCTTCTGTTGTGTAACTATTATTGATCCTTCTGATCTTTTAAATGGTACTGTTTGATATGTTTGCAGCAGTTCTGTTTATTAAGAAGTTAATAGTGTATTAAATGCAGAATGCCTTTAAGTATTTGATGGTTACAATAAATTTTTGTAAAACGTTTTCTTGTCCAAGCATTTAATTTAATCCAACTCTGACAGCTTGAAAATCAGCCTCTTCCAACAAAGACAGCACAGTATTTAGAACAAGGTGTTTGGCAGTTTTCACTCATTTTTTTTATGACATTTCATCCAAATGTTAATGTCTTAAAATATATTTTAAAGGGTTCTGAATTTTCTAGTAGTATCCTGAAGGCCCATTTAAGCCAGTAGTGCTCTAGCTGGAATTCTGGTGGCTTTTATTAGCCACATCCCCCCATCCTCCCCCACCCAAGGGTTTGTTTTGGGCAACCTTCTTTCTACATATAATTAGTAGGTATTTATGAACACTAAGTGTGAGTTGATGTAATCTAATTGGTAATAAAACATCACAATCTTGAACTAAAATTTACAATCATGGCTTTTTAAGGAGAAAGATTTTGAGAGTGGTAGCATTATCTCACCAAGATTTTGAACAATCTCGTTGTATTGGCACTGTAAAATTCTTGAACAAGAATGGTGCAAATTACCATGGGGGCTTAATTCCACACCATGAGAGGCTGCACTTGCTGTTCCAGCTCTGCTGCAAAGTCTGAAGGAGCTTTTAAAGTAGTCCTGCAGTGTAACCAAGCAACCCCTGGGTAATTTCCAGTCTGTCTCTTGTGAAAACTCTTTTCTTTTAGCACGACTTAAAAATCTATAGCAGTCAATTCGTTGTTTAGAAATGTGTTCTGCTGGGGCTGTTCTTACAAATGGGAAATATCTTTAAATCCCCATTGATACAAAACTGTGCATATGTGCTATTATTTTATCCTAGAGTTGGTTTTGTGTGTCCTGGTTGAGGCTGCAGCCCCATTCTGTGAGGCACTGGCTAAATGTGTGCTGGGAGAGTACCCTTCATACAAATGTCACCATAAGTTCAGATAAGATGGAGTGGGGCAACATGACATGCTCAAGGTCACAGCAGATCAGTGCAGGAATGAGTAAAATAGAGGGATTTTAAAATATTATTTTATTTTTTACTTTATTTTTTTACTGCCTGAAACCCTGTGCTGAAGGTCATATGGCTCTCTGTGCCTCTTAATTAAATCCATTGCTGGTGCTCAACTGTTACATCTGAATGGCCAAGAATCTTTTATGTCCTTGACCTGAGTAAATATTACAGTCCCTTATGATTTCCATGGTTTTCTCTGGAAGAATATGAGTGAGGGAATTTTCACACCATCATAGCTTGTTTTTCTTGCTGCTATTAATGCAAATACTAAAATGTTAAAGTACCATGTGAAGTTTCTTAGCTGAGAAACCTGGTGACTTTAAATGGATTATATCATAAGTAGAAATATGATGTGTTATCCTGGTCAACATCTATTGTGGTTTAATTTAAACCGAGCTTCCAGAGTCCCGTACTCAATTTATAATAATTCATGTAAACCATTTGTTACATCAGTCGTTTGTCAACATGCAGTTACAAGGCCTAATCTCTTTGGGTCTAATGTTGCTTACACTTAGCATTCCTATCAGATATGTAGTTAATTAAAAATGGGTATCTTTTAAATTTTAAACATTTTAATAACATCTCAATTTTTGGCCTAAATTCTTACCAGTAAATGCATTGAAGAAAATGCAGATTTTCTCACTAACAAACAGTCTCATCTTAATTTGGTTGCAAGTGGTGAAGTCTTTATTCTAGATAAAAAACAGGACTTATTTTCTATCATAGCAATAACTTCTTAATCAGTATTATTATAAACAATTAGAAACTGATCAGTTTACCCAGTCTGGTTGTTGGTTATGCTGGTCATTAATAGGAAAATGAGAGCATTGTCTCTTTGTGGATGGTAGATTGTGTGCATGGTCTTTTTAGGTGTTAGATGCATTTGCTGTTTCCTATAGCTGTTAAAAAAATAGATACTTCATTAAAGAAAATTTAAAATGAAGGTTTTGTTTTGCTAAGAACCAAAGTCAGCCTTTTTTAGGTGACTTGTGTAGAGGTAAGTATTGCCATCCACAAGCTGTGTTGACTTTGCTAATGCACTTGCCAAAAAAAGGCAAAGGCAGAACTTCCAGGATTCAATTTCCATTTTTTTTAAAAATCTTTTCGATTTTTCCTCTTCCAAAACTCTGGGTTTTTATTAAACAAGAAGAATAGCCAGACCACTGTTCTCTGCATTTTCTGGAGTAGGAGTCAAGGTTAATAATTTATGTTAAAAGCTGTTAAAGGGAAGCCAGCCTGTGACATTCCAAGCAGTTTCATTTTGAAGAAAAAATTCTGACCATTAAGAGACTATAAGAAATATAGTCTGAATTTCTTTATGAGGAGCTGTTTATATCTGCTGCTGTTACACATGCTGTGCTGGGTCTTAAAAAAAATCAGCAAAGAACCAGACCCTACATCCCTTTTCCAAATATCCTCTGGGAGGACCTAGTGCAAAAAGCATTTGGAAGAGGATGTTACTTATCTGTGGACTTTAGTAAGTTTTCTTTGGGCTCATGCTGTGATTTCTTGATAGATGTGGAATTAAAGTTCTCCAAGGGTACTGCTTGGTAAAGTTTTAATCAGCTTTTTCTTCTCAAGAGTGAGGGGGAGGGAGTGTTTTGGATGCTGATGGATGGTCTGACTCACTGAACAAATTGAAATGTTTATTAAACTATTTTGCTTCCATCTTTTAATAATAACTGAATATAAATTTGTGTGAGAGTGTTTTTAAAAACTACACTATTGCTCAAAAATTAGAGAATACTTTGTGGAGTGTCAGGAAAGATAGCTTGGGAAGAGTCCCTTTGAAAAATGGTTATGTTTTAGAGACACATTGCAGGCTAGAAAATTAAATACTGATTGTTAAAAGCCCATTTTATAGTGTTCCATGGAAGCAACAACTCAGTTTTCTGTTCTATAAGAAGTTTGGCTTAAGAGATCCCTGTTTCTTTGCTATTCCCAAGTGGAGGCTGGATTGTGGTTCAGTTCCATGGCTTTTGAGCTGTTATTTTGATTGGTGTGAGACTTCCCCATCCTGAACTATGTACACACAGCATGCATTAATTCTCCCAAAAAGCAAGACAGATGAGGTTTCACCTAGAAAACACATATTTCATTTTAAATGGATGAATTAAAACTGTAGTATTCCTGATATTTATATGAGGAAGACCTGGCTTATTTTTTTTTCCCCTGGAACTTCAAGTCCACTATTTTCCTTTTTGGCATACCTGCCTTGGATAGACTCAGAAGATTTTTGTGTTGCAAATGCCTGTAAAGAAATAATTTTTCCATAGTCACTTGTGCATTAGCTGGAAACTTCTGCAGTGAAACCATGGGAAGCTGAGTGGACAGTTTGTGGAGCAGGAAATAAATGATGATTTTTATCTGAAATTCAGGTCCTGTAGTGTTGGTCAGACTTTTTGGGTGTAAACACAGAAGGGTTATTACAAGAGCTGCTGGAAGGCAAGTGCTTGTAGTTAGTTATCCAGATAGACCATGAATAAAATTAAATCTCTTTAAGTCTGTGCATTTTATAACCATTTAAAGTCTGCTGTAAAGCAGGAGACTTCTCTTTTTAAGAAGCTTTATACAAACCTGCTTTCTAAAAGCAAGTCAACACGTTACATTAATTGAGATTTTTGCTGATAGGTCCTGTCTTGCCACAATGACTTCTAATCACATGTCTTTTTTTTGTTCAGCTTTCAGCCCTTTTTTTGAAGTTCTGAATGGTGTAGGATTACACTTGTCATTCATAGATTTACTTGAACAATGGAATAAATAGTGTTTTCTGTTTTACTTCAAAGAATTGCCAAGAAAATGCTTTTAGAAGAAATCAAAGCCAATCTTTCCTCTGATGAGGATACGTCTTCAGATGAGCAGCCGGAGGAAGGAAAGAAGAAACCTGCAAAGCAAACTGAAAACACAGGAGATGATGGTAAGCACCAAAAAGCATCTGGGAAAAGGTGGTGCTGTGGCACCTATCATGATTTCAGGGGTCACTTTGGAAAATGCTGATTGTTAAAGTTTTTCAGCAAAAATATTACTGATTTTGATATGTAGTTGCCACATAGAGACCAATGTATGTGGTCATGAGGAGTATCATCTGTTTTAGTCTTCTGTATCTTATTTTTTTGTTATAGTTCTGGGTTTTGTAAGCAATTAAGAAGTCCTAGGGGTTTGTGAGGGGTTATTATCTATATAGAACAGTAAGTCCTGCATGTGCACAGGAGAGATTTGGCTAACGCAGCCATTGGAACAGGCATTCCAAGCATTCAGGCAGTGGGAAATACTGAACAGTGGAGGAAACTGGTATGTTGTTGCTTGTAATTCCCTGGAAAAGCACTGGATTTAGCCTAAATTAATTCAGATTTTAATTCTTGTAAGATAAGAAAGTGACTGGTATGCATGTGGTACTGACTCTTTTGTGTGACAGGAGAGAAGGAAAAGGAAGACAAGAAGTGTGAAAAGGAAGAACCTAATTCTGAGTCAGATTCAGAGGAGGAAGAAACATCCAAGAAGCCCAGATACAGACACAGACTGCTGAGGCAGAAGCTCACTGTGAGTGATGGGGAGTCTGGAGAAGAAAAGAAGGTGGTGAAACCAAAAGACAAAAAAGAAGGGGGGAAGCGCAGAAATAGAAGGAAAGGTACATAATCCACGTCTTTTTTTTTTGGTCATAAAAAATGCCTGCTTCTGTAAAATAAATACAAAGCTTGTCAGAATGGAGATCCTAACCTTTGTGATATTAAAATCCCTGTCTAAACTTCCTTGTGTATGAAATCTAGCATTCCCTTATCTTTGTTTGATAAATAGTTTTATTTGAAATGTCAAATACAAGTGCAGCTCTCTCCACTTGCTGTATCCTCTGAATTAGATTAATCCTGTGGAACCTTAGAATATCCATTCTGAACAGCAGAGGCAAGGCCAGGGTGTCTGAATTTGGGAAAATCAGTCTTGTTCTTGATGTAATTTCTCTCTTGGAGTGGCAGTAGTGCCTGAGGAGTGTGTCCATGCTGGAATTGCAGTGCAGCAGGCTGGAGCTGAGCACCAGATGGCACTGTGAAATGAGCCTGGGCTGGCCCTTCGTTGTTGCAGGCAGGAACAAAGAACTTGTGGGTGTTTCCTGGCCAGGAAAGGTGCACTGGGCTTCCCTGATCTGTGTTGCACTAATGCCAGCCAGCTTTTGTGGTCTTCCACAGAATAGAAGATGCAATGTGGTTTGTTTAGCATTTTCCTCCATGAAAACTCTCATTTTTATCTGTTTGCATATTCATGTTTTTCCTCCCTTACAGGATTAAAACTCTACCTACAGCATTTCATGCAGGAAGAATAATTGTAAATTACTTATGAATTACTGTGCAAGTAAGAGGCAGCTTAGTTAGGGTTCTTCAGTGCAAACCTTTGAAGTTGACTGCCCTCAAACACAACAATATATTTGATTTCAGTTTGCCCTTTTTAGCCCTATGTTATTAATGTTACCACTCCCCATGTTTGTAGAACAACTCATGTTTTAAGCCTTGTCATTGATAAAACAATTAAACTTTCCACTGTGTTCAAGGTCAGGCTGAAATTCAAGGTGTTAAATACCACGCTGGTGTCTTCAATACCTAAAAATGCCAGGGATAGCTCTCAAGGTGGCTGGGAGAGTCTTGCTAAAGCTGCTCTTTTAGGTGTATTTTTAATTGCTTTTTGAGGCAGTTTTGAGCTTGCACTACCTGAAGAAATGCCAAGCCACAAATGTAGTGATGCAATTTCTATTTTGTGTGTAAATAAGAGCCCTTTTCTTGAAGTATGGTTATAAAATGACATGTAAAGCATTTGAAGCAAAAACTTCTGTTTAACTAAAAATCACCTTTGGTTTCTGAAGTTCCATATTGTTCCTCACGGTTCTTCATCATTTAATGCTCTCTTCCATTTGCTCCTAAAATAAACATAGATGTTCATGCCTAAGGACCTCAAGGCTTGTGGCACAATAAGCCACAGGACTCAGCTAGTGCTTAAATTTTAACCTTTTAAATTTTAACCTTTAAATGCCTAAGGACCTCAAGGCTTGTGGCACAATAAGCCACACACCAGGACTCAGCTAGTGCTTAAATTTAACCTTTTAAATTTTAACCTTTTCTTATCTGTGCCCATTTTATCTTATAAATGTGGGTCCCATGTTGTCTAACATGAACCCTGGCAGTGTTTGTTCTCTGAAGCAGTTTGTTGTGCAGTGAGGAGCTGCTGGCTTTGCAGTGAACTCACCATGAAATAAATGCTGCTGTCTTTTCCAGTGAGCAGTGATGACTCCAATGACTCTGAGTTCCACGAGTCTGCAGTGAGTGAGGAGGTCAGTGAGTCTGAGGATGACCAAAGGCCAAGGACAAGGTATGAACAGAACTGAGCTGTGATTACCCTGTGTTTGTTTTGGGTTTTAATAGTACAGTTTGTGCAGGGAGATGGTAAAAATTAAAACACTTTGGAGCAGTTCTTAAAACCCTTTGTGATGTCTGTCTGTAGGAATTACAGAATATTAATTTATTTTGCAGCAAATGTGGGAGTTTTGAATTTGTACCACAGTAGGGGATGCACAACAATTTGATGAGCCAGTACAAAAAAAAATCAACAAAAAATGGACATTTTAATGCCAAATACATCACTGTCAACTGGTGGATTGCAGTATAAAACTAATGCTTTATAGTTCTGAGATTCTGATGGGTTTTCTCATTGCTCTGTGTATCCAGTGGGCTGAGCAGGAAGGAATTTAGAAGTCAGCCCTAACTGCACAAATGGAGGTCATATCTTATTAATTAATTACTACTCCTCCTTGACCATTGTTTTTCAGTGAGGTAGAGGATTATTATGGTTAATCAGTAATATTGCCTTTTTGCTTTTTAAATAGATCTGCCAAAAAAGCTGAGGCAGAGGAAAACCAGCGCAGCTACAAACAGAAAAAGAAACGAAGGAGGATAAAGGTTCAGGAGGATTCATCAAGTGAAAATGAGAATAAGGTGCTGTGTCATGTCTTGGAGTAATAAACAGGGAGTTCCTGTCTACTGCCAGCTGCTGAGGGTATCTCAGACACCTCTGCACAAAATACAGTAAAAAATTAAAGCTGTTCTCAGTGTCAGTTCAGGCTAAAATTTGTAAAAAGCCACCGTTGTGGAGGTAAAACATTATGTTTGAACTAAAACTTTTCCTATCTGGATCTTGATAAAATGCATGATACTGAAGCAAATGGAATTTTTAATCTTAATGTAGATGAGACAAATTGCAGATTAAGGCTTTGGTAGTGTTGGGGTTTCTTTTTGTGTGTGGTGTAAGTAGGGGCTGATCTGATTTAGCACCAGTATAACAGGAAAAACAGTGCTTTATTAATAATAAGTAGCTCTTATCAAATGATAACAGTGCCCTCAGTACTGCCTTTGCACAGCTGGGCTTATCTTTAATATCTGAGAATACATTACAGTTAAGGTGGCACTTCTTTTGTCAGACTTTTAAAAAAGGCATTTTTTCTTATTACCTGAACGTCACCTGTGTGTGTAAGAATTTCTGGGAGCTTGTCTAAGAAAGAAGGGGTTTATGATCTCTGCCATAGTTTTCTTGCTAATGTGTATTTCACTTAATTTCTAATAGAGTAACTCTGAGAATGAGGACAATGATGACTCAAAATCTCCTGGAAAAGGCAGGAAGAAGATCAGGAAAATTATTAAAGATGATAAGCTTAGAACAGAAACACAAAATGCACTTAAAGAAGAAGAAGAAAGAAGAAAACGTATAGCAGAGAGAGAACGGGAGAGAGAGAAATTGAGAGAGGTATGGTCTGGTTTCTGAGTAAGTTTCTGTGCAGTTGAATTCCTGATGATGTTTAAGATGGTAAATTTAAACCTCAGTGTAATTCAACCAGTGATTTTTGAAAACCACTTACATGGAGTCTTATGAGCCCCAGGTTTTGTCTGCAGTTTCCTGCAGGTTGACCTTGGTAAGTTTTATTTGACTGCTGTGACCTTAGAAAGTTGTTTCAGCTCCCTGCTGCCTACACTTCAGTGCCAAAGTAAGTTGTGATGCATTAAAAGTTTCTCTTCAGTAAATAAATGATTACTTCCAGTTCTGGTAAATCTGAAGTGTCTCAAGTGCTGGGTGTTACTCCTGTGAGAACATTCCTCTGATGCCCTGTTTCTGTCTGCAGGTGATAGAGATTGAGGATGCCTCACCTCTAAAATGTCCCATCACAACCAAGCTGGTTTTAGATGAAGATGAAGAAACCAAAGAACCCTTAGTGCAGGTTCACAGGAGTATAGTGACCAGACTGAAACCACACCAAGTAGATGGTAAGGAAAGAGTTTAAAGGAAAAAAAAGAATTTTTTTTCCCTCCAGGGGCACAGTACCTTATGCAGACTGAATTAGAATAATAAAAACTCCTTCACTGGCAAAACCAGATTGTGTCTTCTCATCTCCCTGTCCTCAAGATGAGGCAGTCTGCATCCTCACAGGAATATATTCCAGCCCAGTAGCCACATCTTCAATGAAGCTGGGAATATAATCAAGTTCAAGATAAAGATCATCCCACATACACCCCACTGGACAGAAGTGAATCAATAATTATCCTGACAGCTGCTTTCCTAGGAGTTATCATGATCTCACTGATCACAGCTGTCTCTTACTGGGTGAACTTGAATAAAATTAATACTTAATCAGAAAACTTTCAATCATCTTCTTCAGGTGTTCAGTTCATGTGGGATTGCTGCTGTGAATCTGTAAAAAAAACCAAGACATCTCCTGGCTCTGGCTGCATTCTTGCTCACTGTATGGGCCTGGGAAAAACATTACAGGTAAGAAACAAAATTTATTTCCAAGTGCTTTGTAGTTCTCATGCAACTCAGAACAAGAAAATAAATAGAGCTGGCAGGAGAGAGGCTCCAGGAACCTGTTTCTAAGGTTTTCTGTGGAATAATCTTAAGCAGGTTATGTTTTTTCTGTCTTCATTAATTTTTTTTCCCTGAAATGATTTATTTTCTTGACTGTTTTAAAATTAATTTGTTGTTGCTGAAGTACAAGTTTATCAGATTTGGTTGGTTTTTATTTTTAATGCCAGACCTAGTGTGTAAAGTCAGGTGCTGGTGTGTTTGTGGGGGTTTTTTGAGTGGCACAGAGCTGAGGATGATCAGAGAACTGAGGTCACTCATGGTATGAGCAGTTCAGGCAAACCCAGGCTGAGCTGTGGTTGGGGCTGGTGCACAGCAGGATTTTATCTCCAGCATATCTGAAAATTTGCTTTGTTTAGGGAAGTGGGGGTGGCAGACACAGTATTTTGACAGTCTACAATTCTACAGATCATTTCAAAAATCACCTTTGAAAGGTGTATTTTTACAGACTTGATCCTAGCTTAGCTGGTGTGGTTCTTGAGGAGTTAATCACACCTTTTAGTGGAGATTTGCAATGCTTTGCAGAACTGTTGTGTAGGGGGCTTTTTCCACCTACACTTTACACACCATATAGTCTTGATGAAATACCTACAGCAGAAGGTATTTTTATAGTGATCCAGATGTGGCAGTAATTTTGGCTGTAACTTCTTGATAATCAAAGAAAGCCATAGTTAGAAACATATATCAGTATAAATGACTTTGAAGGCTGGTGTGTGAAGCTGAGGTGGTTGTTTTTCCCATGTGTCCATCTGCCAGTCACTGCTGTGCTCTGTGATTTTTGCCATTTGTTGTTTTGCTCCTGAAAGAGCTGAACCAGCCCTGAGTTCTGGCAGACTTTGCCAACTGCAGGGCAGGATGTCAGTAGAGACCAGGGAAATCAGGGAACTGGGGGCTTGCTGGCCAGGACTGTGGGCATGAGACTTCCTGGGTGGTTTTCTCTTACGCAGAACCCCCAGTAAATCCTTTCGTTTTAAAAGCACTTTGCTGCCCAGCGTTCCAAGCACAGCCATGCAGTTTACAATCCCTCTCTCAAATCAGAGTTGCTAGATACCAAGATTTGATGCAGAAAGAGCTTCATGCTGTTGCACAGCCAAGTGCAGTGGGAGAGCTGGAGCTGCCATGGCATCACTGACTCTCTCCTCCAGTCCTGTTTTGTTCGCTGCTGCTCAAAACAGGCAGCCCAGCAGAAGCACTGAGTGACACCACAAGGTTTTGGGTTTTTCCCAGCCTGAAGGAGGTTTTGTCATCCTCAACACACAGCCAGGCTGGCTGCAGGGTGAATCCTTGGAAAACACTGCCATAGCCTGCTGCAGAGCTCTGCTGAATTTCGCTTGAAATACTTTGAAAAAAAGTGTGAGAAACTGCTTTAAGACTGAAGTTCACTTTGAAGAAACTTAACTGTGAATTTATTTTGTGTTTGGGATGAATGTTGGGAGAAAGCTTAAAAACGACCTGATGGAAGTGTTTAATTTATGAAAATGGCTGATGAAATGTAAAGGTATCAGCAATTCAGGAGTATCTCAGTATGTGAGGGATGTGTGCAGCCATGGAACACAGAGTAAGGAGTATATGAACTCCAAATACACCTGTATGAAAATTTAACCAGAAATTCTATTTGTTTAACCAAAAGTATATTTAAACAAGGCTGTTGTTGGTAATTCAATTACATAATTGAATAGATAGCATTTATCTTTCTTTCAGGTGTTTATTTGGTGTTCTGCTTGTTTTTTCTCTTGCAGGTAGTAAGTTTTCTCCACACAGTCTTGCTGTGTGACAAACTGGACTTTCGGACAGGTCTGGTTGTGTGTCCACTCAACACTGCCTTGAACTGGCTGAATGAGTTTGAAAAATGGCAAGAAGGTTTAGAAGACGAGGAGAAACTAGAGGTAAGAGGCTTAAAAAGAGTTCTTAATGAAATAATGGGATGATTTGCAAAATTGAGAAGCTCCACCACTTAAAGACTAAGAAATGTGCTTTAACTACGTGAAAAATCTCCTGGCCTTAATACATGAGAAGTATTAAAAATTAGACCACTATTGAATATTTTAAAAGGAATTAAAGGGGTTTTTTTCCCCTTTGGAAGGTCTATGAGCTGGCAACTGTGAAGAGGCCTCAGGAGAGGAGCTACATGCTGCAGCACTGGCAGGATGAGGGAGGCGTGATGATCATTGGCTACGAGATGTATCGAAACCTGGCACAAGGCAGGAATGTGAAGAGTAGAAAACTTAAAGAAATATTTAATAAAGCTTTAGTCGACCCAGGTAAGCGAAAATTTATACAGCTTGTATAGTTTGGGCTTCAAGGTTTATGAAGATGAGCAAAGAAAATAAATAGTGTTGGTAAGATTGGTCAGATTTTCTTTGTGGCTTTTGCTGAGTTACAGAAATTTGTTCAGAATCTCCCCCATCTGCTTTTGTAAATTGATTTCTGTAATGGTCTTTTCTGTTAAATCAAATGCAAGGAATACATTATAGAAACTTCTCCTGTTAAGTGTTTTTATTTGCTGGCTTTGCTTCCTTTGCAAAGTGATTGGAGGGGTTTGTTGAGGACCCAAGGCTGTTTTAATCTGCTAATTTGTTACAATCACAAGCTGTTTTGTCCTTGATGGAAATTTACCACTAAGGGGACAACTGCACATGAAAATAGTAGACAATGTACCTTAGAAGTGTGAAAAAAACAAGTGTTAATCAAGTGCTAATTAAGGGAATACAGATAAAGCAGTTAATTATTTTTTCAGTCTTGGGAAACAGATGTCTGGTTTGAGCTGAGCTGAACTTAGCAAACTTAGGTCAACATGTATGGAAGCACTTGAAAGTATTCCAAGTTGATATAACTGATTTCTCAAGTGGTCCCCAAAAAGGACTAAAAGTGTTAGGATTAGGAAGGTTCACCAAAATAGCAAAATTTCCCTACAAATTCTGAACTGGCAACTGATCCTAAAACAATTTAGAGTTATGCAGAATGTCTTAAAAACTGGTTTTAAAAGTTTTTATAACTTTTCTGTACTGTTGATATTTCTCCTTGAGAATGCAGGTGTGGAAGGCAGAGTAAGTGGAGCTGGGTTTTCTTTTTCTTTTTAATTATCTGACTGGACTGTCATACAATGGGTGTGGAGTCAGGGAAGCTCCAGTGCATCAGCTGGTGAACTATTTTAACTATTTTTGTTGGTATATAATGTGTTGATTCCACACATTTTTTAAGCAGTGAAGGAAATGCACTTCTTGCCAATGGATTTTTGACTCCTCCTACCAAAGCTGTAGTTATTAAGAACAAAAAAACTCCAACAATAAGCCAAAAAAGAGGGGTGAACCCTGTTCTGTCAGTGCTCTTTTGTACCTGATTTTCTCAGGATATTGCATTTATTGGGAATATTGTCAAGGAAGTGAAAGCTAAGGGAGAAAAGCTGTGAATTGCTGTCTCAAAGTACTGGTGACCGGACAGTAATTCTGTATTTAGTGCGCCTTGTTCTGGTGCAGTGATGAAATAAAATGTTCTACAATAATTAATTTTTGTGGGGTTTTTTCCCTGGTGGAAAATGTAAGGGAGGACAAACATAAGGGTTGTTACCATGTGTCTTTGCAGCAGCATTGTCCCTTCATGGATTTATGTTTGTGTAAGCCCAAAAATACTGGTCTGTGGGATGTTAGGAGGAGACAGTGGCTGGTGTAACCTTCCCTGTCCCATCCCATGGTTTTTACATCCTGCTGTGCTCCTGTTCTCATTCCAGAGCTCCTCAGACGCTGGGGCAGAGCAGTGTTTGGGCTTTGCTCATGGCTTTGTGTACTTCAATTCAGTTGGAAGCTGCAGCACATTGACCCTTAGAGATTTTGGATAATTCCACATGAGCATGGAGCCTCCTGTTCTCTTCTCTTCTAGGACTGGTTGATAGAGTGCAATCAGACCATTGGGAAAGCCAGCCTTGTAATTAACTCCTTAATTATTTTTGTAGCATCGTGGAAACTTCAAGGTTGGAAAAGACCTCCAAGGTGGGGTGCAGACCCACCATACCCACTAAACTGTGCCATGGGCTTCCATGTCTGCTCATTTTTTGAACACTTTAGGGGTGATGACTCCACCACCTCCCTGGGCAGTTCCTTCTATGCTTAACCACTCTTTCAGTGAAGAAATTTTCCTAATGTCCAGCCTGAACCTCTCCTGGCACAACTTGAGGGCGTTTCATGCTGCCTCATCCATTTCTCTATTTTAACTAATTGCAGGGAGACAGAAGTGTCAGTGTGTTGTTAGCCATTAATTTTTGGAGCCATTTGGATTGGCTAAGTGTGCATTGCAAGATTCTCATTTGTTTCTTGCTCTTCTGGTGGCTCAGCACGGACAGTTGCAGAGAAAACCATGTGCTATTCTGCTGGGACTGGAAATAGGGAAACCTTGGCCTCTGGGAGCACTTCCCATTCAAAAAGCTCCAAATTTGGGATTTGAGTGCTGATTTAATGAAATGTGTCTGGTGAATACTGCTGGGGTAGGATACTGTACAGGAGAAGCTTGTGTTGCACTGTCAAGGCGAGCAGAGGGGGAAGGTTTAGCCAAAGTTTATGGGTGGAGAAGTGATTTCATTAATTAACCAGCTCAGCTATGTGGAAGAATGGCAGGATTTTACACACATGCAGGGTTTCCAGGCTGCCTTGTACCACTGCTGAAGGGCTGTTATTGATCACTATTGTGCTCTGCTTGAAGAACTTCAGTCACTTTATTTTTTTTTAAACTTGTTGCTACTAACAACAATTCTGGTACTGTTTGACTTGAAGACTTCTCTTTAACTGGCAGTGGTATAAAGTTCTTGTAGACTTCAGAGGAGCAGGAACACTGTGTGTGTATATATATATATATATATATCTATCTTTTATGTATTTCAATATATTAACATGTGCAGGTACAGTAAGAAGGGTGAGAAGATGAAGACTTTGAGGAAAGATTGCATAAGTAGAGCTTTTTAGCCTAGGAAAGAAAACAACTAAACTGACAAATTTTCCACCTTTTAAGAGCTGGTTAATGAAAGGAGTGTTGTCAGTTGGTTTTGACATGATCAGGAGAAAGGAAAGGGCAGAATTTATTCAGATTTGTAGCAAATTGGGTGTTACTGCACAGTGTTTTAGCAAGAGAGAGGCTGTGGAGTTTCCCCACTTCTGTCAGGTCTGCCCCTTTCTCATAACCCTAATCTCAGATGGAGAAAATTATCTAAATGATCCCCTGAGGTCCCTTTAAGCTTTACATTCCTTTATCATATTTTGAGGAATGTTCTGTCCATAATGATTTGCATTTGTGTTTTGGAAGAGCAAGGGAAAAACCCCCCAAATGGATGAAAATCCCTGCTGCTGAACTGTAGCCAAGATGTTAGTTCATGATAGCAGTGCTGCATTGCTGCCAAACAAACCATGAATAATTGTACTGAGATAGATGGGGTTTTTTCTCATTGTTACTGTCATTCACTTACTCCAAACAGCAGGTTTTGAGGTGGTTTTTTAACTGAATTTCTTTAACTTCATGTGAATGAATCTCAGTTTTTAATGAAATGAGGACTAGAGAAAGGATCTGTCACTGCTGGAGATGGTTACTTAAAGGAAGGCTTTGTTTGTAGCCACTCAGTGGTTTTCATTCTGTCAAAACTGGGAAGGTACAAAAGTTATTAAATAATATAGGGAAATGTTTCTGTGGCAGGTGGGAAATTCAGAAATACATTGGCTTGGACAAGCCTGAGTGCATCTGGAATCTGTATGTGGATTTTCATAATTGTCTTCTAGACTTGTTTCAAAAGTTTGGGGGTTGTTTTGTTTGGGTTTTTTGCTTGAAAAGAAATATCTTCTTGATTTCTTTCCCTTCACATGTAAGATTCAAATCACTTTTAAATCACCTTAAAATGGCATGATTAATGTGACTGGCACGGGTGTGTGTAGTCAGAGGTGTAATCAATTCTCTGCTGTGGATCACTGCCCTAGAATTAATTTTATTCTTTAGAAGGCAGTTTGAATTTAGTCTGAGACAAAATATTCTCAGTAAATTATAAAAGATTAAACTGTCCTTGCTGACAAATCCTCCTTTGCTCCTCAAATATTGGCCTTTTTAGTGCTGAATTGCTGAACCCAACTGGTGGCTTTTCTCCAAAGTGCAGCAAATTGTCATGAGCTGCTCTCAGAGTTGAGAGTGCTGGAACTGAGGTCAGGTTTAGAGCTGGTAAAACATTTATTCTGAGATACTGCTTGGATCCTAGAATATCTTTTACTTCATTTTCAAGGAAAGAAATTCCAGAAATTGCCCTAAGTCTGAAAACAATTAAGAGTGAGTCTGTTCTGCCAAGTTGGATATTATTTATCTTATTATTAGAGTTGCTTTGCATACTGTGGGAATGTGTTGTGGTTTTGACATTCCTTGTGCAGCTCACTTAAACCAGACTGATATTTTATCTCCTGGAAGAAAACTGAGGACATTCCTGAGGTGACTTTCAGCTGCAAGGTGGCAATTCACTTGTCTGTAATTCAGATCAAGTCTGGTTGTGTTTTATATTTTCTAAGACTTCTGATTGCACTCTGTTCCCGTAGTGTTATTCTTGCCTTAATGAAAAATTTCAGGTTACCTGGTGTTTGTGTGTTTTGGGATTGCTCAAGTGTCAGTAGATGGCAGCCTAAAGCTGGAGAGAAGGAAGTTTTACTGAGTTTTGACAGGATGGATGGAGGTGCAGCCATGCACAACCAGCAGCAGGAATAGACCATTTTATCAGGAATATGCTGCAAAGCCGAGTTTATTCCTTGCCATGAAGACTTTACAAGCAGCAGCCTTGATTTTACCAGAGTGGTTCCTCTGAATGCTTGTGCAGAGGCTGAGTGAGAACCCAATCAGTGCTAAAAAATCTCACCATAAAACACACAAAAAAGTTAAAAAAAACCCCAAAGTAACATTGGTGTAGAACAAATTTTGGATGCTTTAGGCTGTCAGGTTCTTTGTGGCAATGAAATATTGTGGAGAGATTTAATATTGTTTCTTTCTAGGTCCCGACTTTGTGGTGTGTGATGAAGGACACATATTGAAAAATGAAGCATCTGCTGTCTCCAAGGCAATGAATTCTATTAAATCTAGGAGAAGAATAATTCTGACAGGAACACCACTGCAGAATAATCTTATAGAATGTGAGTAGTTGTCTTTTATTTCCTTCAGTACACTCCTGCCTGTCAGCCATAGAAGATATATTTAGTTTGATATGAAGAAAAGGATTTGAAGCAGTGCAGCTGCCTGCTAAGTTTCTCTGTATTTAGATGTGGCACAATTATTTTCTGTTTGTATTAATCCCAGCACTGTGCTTTGCATTTGGAACCGCTCAAGTGTGCCTGTTTCTCCTAGATCACTGCATGGTTAACTTCATTAAGGAGAATTTGCTTGGCTCAATTAAGGAGTTCCGGAATCGGTTCATCAACCCCATCCAGAACGGGCAGTGCGCAGACTCCACCCCCGTGGATGTCAGGGTGATGAAGAAACGTGCTCACATCCTCTATGAGATGTTGGCTGGCTGTGTCCAGGTGAGAACACTTTGTCCCTAACCCATCTCTTCATTTCACTGCAGGGAAGGAGAGGAGTTCTTTTGTCTCACTCTGATGAAATCACCCAAAGGCCTATAAACTTCTGATTTGAGAGCTCCATAAATCTTTTGAATTAAATATTTTCACTGATTGTTAGATCCCTGCATTATCTGTGACTAGAAAAACTTCATAGTTTTTCTGCATATGTCAGTGTATTCTAAAATACAAGTATTAGAGGATACAGCTATTTCCCGCTGGGAGACAAGAACATTTTTTTGGTAGAGTAGGACATTGGTTGCTCTGAAATAATTCTGTTTTAATTCCATATGCACATTTAAGAACTGCCCTAAAGTCTGCAGAGAAAGTTGGTGGTCCATAGTTTGTCAGGTATTTCTGAACATGTATTTTTTCTGATCTGTGAGAATCAGAACACCAGAAAACAAGAGAGAATGAAAATTATTCAGGTTCAAAAGGGGGAAGAACTTGTTACTTTATGGACCTTAGATAAAAAAAGCTTTGGATGGAGCCCACATGGATTTTCTCCAGCCCTTTGCAGAGCAGATCCTGTCCATAGAGAGCTGCTCTCTCTTGTGGTCATTGGGTGAGTGGGAAGACAGAGTAGTGTCAGAGTCAAAAAAAAAACAAAACAGAAGTAAAATCTGGTTTTAGTATTCTTTAAAAAAAACCCCAAAAGCAGTTCCAGAGCAGCTCCTGGAGTTGCAGTGAACTTTGCATGGACTTGGAACTGGCCATGGGCTTAGCAGGTCATGGACTTTGGCCTGAGAAGCTCCTGAGTGGGGCAGCTGGGCTCCTGCTGCAGGGCCTGGAGTAAAAATTGTATTTCCTGGGCTGATTTTCCCCTTCTGGGGCTGAGAGCACCAGGATCACTCACCACCACTGATCCACAGTGCTTTGTCCTTTGAGATGCCACAATCCTGAAGCTCTCAGGAGTCCTTGCCATGTTTCTGTGCCTGAAGCAGTGTCTGTGCAATTGCAGAGGAAGGATTACACAGCATTAACCAAGTTCCTGCCTCCCAAATACGAGTACGTGCTCGAGGTGAGGATGACCCCCATCCAGTGCAAGCTGTACCAGTATTACCTGGACCATCTGACAGGTATGTGCCTGCAGCTCTGATGGCATTTAATAAAGGGCATTTGCCACACTTGCTAGGTGAACATCAACTTTCTGAACATTGTCCTATGCACTAAAGTGCTTGGACAACAAAAAAATAAGCTGGGTTGGGGTTTTTTTGGTGTGTTGTTTTTTTTTTGTTTTGTTTGTTTGGGTTTTTTTTTTTTTTTGTATTAGAATACTGCAGTGTTACAGGTCATTAAATGTAGCTCAGATTATTAAGATTCATTGAGACCTAAGTGCAAATGTTATTTTGTATTTTCCACCTTGGGCTGCTTTTACAAAACCTAAATAGACATGTCTGTCTTTTTAAGAGGATTTGTGTACATTCCTGTACTGGGGAGCAATGTACTTTTATGTAAAAAATATAATCATGTTTCTCATTATCAAGAAAAAGGAGAAAATCTAATTTTGACAACTTTAGCTGGGAGAAAAAATGGCTGTGAGTGAGTAATTTGAGCCCTTTTACAAGAGATGTTGCAGTATGATGTGCAGCTGGAAAGAACACTCAGATCTGCTCTGCTGGGCTCTTCAAAGGGGAGCAGAGTGTGGCAAACTGACTTCAGGGCTCACTCTAAAACCTGAACTTTATTGTCAGGTGTAGGTGGTGGCAATGAAGGTGGAAGAGGCAAAGCTGGAGCTAAACTATTCCAGGATTTCCAGATGTTGAGCAGAATCTGGACTCACCCTTGGTGTTTGCAGCTGGACTATATTAGCAAAGAAAATAAGGTAAATTAGATATATCAAAATACTCTCACTTGAGAGCTTTCCAAATGAGCTCTGCCAAACTCTAGGTAAAGTTTCGTCAAATTAATGGAAATCTTTGTTGCTGTGGGGTCATTTTGCTGCTGGTTTTGTCATATTTTTCTTGCTGGGTATGTTGTCATTCTTAAACCATTTTGCAAGGCCAGGCCTTTGTAGAGCTTACCATTGTTTAAATGAAGAGTAAGCAGATGGCTAAAGGTTTAATAAAAGCTTCTAGGTGAGCATGGTTAATAATTTCTGTTTTTTCTCTTTTGAGGGCTATTTTGATGAAGACAGCATGGATGACTTCATAGCCTCAGATTCCGATGAAACTTCCATGAGCTTAAGTTCAGATGATTATGCAAAGTAATTGACCTTTTATTTAATTTGTTGGTGTTGTTTCTCTTTAGAACTGAAGTGATTCCTATAAAGTAAATGTTCATTTTGTATTTTATGTGTCTGTTAGAATATGTTTTCTTTCAGTGGGATTTAAAAAAAAATAATGGGGTGTATAATGTTGCTTTTTTAGGAAAAAAAAATCCAAGGGGAAAAAGGTGACGAAAGAGTGTAGCTCAAGTGGCAGTGGCAGTGATAATGATGTTGAAGTCATTAAAGTCTGGAATTCAAGATCTCGTGGAGGAGGGGAAGGAAATGTAGAAGATCTTACAAACAACCCAGCATCAACAAAGTCAGATGAAGGTGAGGATAACACAGAGTGCTGGAAATGTGTGGTAGCTTCGTTTTGCAAAAGGCAATTTGAGAAGGCTGTCAGGAATTCTGCTGTGTGGCAGAATGGCAAATTCCTTAATTCACAGTTACAGCTCCTGCTACTTCTAATTTTGTATTTAACCTGGAAAAACAAGGGGCATCAAGTTAGAACTTGGGGGTTTTGAGGCAGGGAAGCTGCACAGGGAAATTTTTAAATTTAGAAGTACAAAATTATATAACCTGGAAGATTCATGGAAATATTAGGAAATATATCTGTTATAACTCAAATCTGGAATTTGAATTGGATGCTGAGCAAGCAGATCCAGTGCAGCAGGAGCACAAGACCTCTTTAAAGTTGTTATTCAAACTTCTTACAGCTGCACACTTAATTTTTGGTTTTTTTCCTGTAATAATCTAGCTTTTGTCTTGTATCTGGTATGACAGAGATAATTTTCTGATTCTGTTATTTCATGTGTGTCTAATTTCTTTCCCTAAGTAATTTTAAATTTTTGGGAGAAGTCAGGTGAGAAATCTTTTTTTTTGCCCCCATCCCAGTGGCAATATCTTGTAAATGTGTAAGGGGTGGAGGGTGTTGTATGTAAAGCATTTACACACAGAGATTAAATGTGTTAAAGGAATTACATTATAGGCAGGCTGAGTTTCTCTCTCTGCATCCTTTAAATATTTAACTCTTGTAATTGCTTATAATGCACTTGCTGTTTTTTCTTTGCCTCTTTGACACTTTTTTATACCAGTTAAGTCTGATAATGAGGGAACAATTCTGTAGTTCAGACATTCAGAGCATTTAAATGAAGACCATGTTCTCATGTTTGATTTTTATTTCTTTTTCTTTGGTTTTTTTTATAGGCAAAGCTACATCCTCTTCCAATCCTGGTAGCCCAGCTCCAGACTGGTACAAAGATTTTGTCACTGATGCAGATGCTGAGGTGTTGGAACATTCTGGGAAAATGGTGCTGCTCTTTGAAATCCTCCGAATGGCAGAGGAGCTGGGAGACAAAGTGTAAGTTCTGGACATGTCATGAAAGACTTCAGGAATATATTATAATCATATATATATATAGAATATATCAGTCTGATAGAGTTCCCCATCCATCCACTCTTCATTCTGCTGTTTTCTGAAGCAGCCAAGCACTCATTTTTGTCAGGGATCTTCCCACACCTGCATGTGCCTCACTGAAGTCTTGCTTTGTTTGTCTCAAAGGTCGTATCAGAGGGAGGAGGGAACAAAAGTGAAGCAGTGCAATAATTAAAACAACTCCAGAGATGAATTCTGTGTTTCCCTGATTCTTTTTTCAGCCTAGTGTTCAGCCAGTCCCTGATATCTCTGGATTTGATAGAAGATTTCTTGGAGCTGGCTAACAGGGAGAAATCTGAGAGAGATCAGGCTCCTATCTACAAAGGTGAGTGTCTCCTTCAGCAGCTGCAATGCTCAGAGCTCTTTCACAAGTCTCTGTTCAGTGCCCATGGAGTGTTTCCATCCATGGAATGGATGTTGCATGCTCTGGACTGCCCCTGAGGCTGGCAGGGTTACTGGGCTCCCCTGCAGGAGCTCTCTGCTGGCCCATTGTGGACTCTCTGATTTCACTCTATCACCCTGGCTTCTTGTAGCCTAAGCAGATTTAACATTCACATCTGAGAGAAGGCATTTTGTTAAATCCTGCACAAAAATGATGTTAAATTCTGGTGTGTGGCAAATCCTGATCCTTTCTCCTGGGAGAGAGGGAGTGAAGGGAAATGAGGCTGCTTTAAACCAGTGTGTAAAACGTGGAAAATGTGAATTTAGGTTTATATGCACAGCAGCAGGTTGGCTTATGGATTTCACAGGGAGCAAGTATTGAATCAGTTATTATCCTAGTGATGCTCAAATGGCATGGAATGCCTCACTAAGATGTTCCCACGGCTCTTGAGGGTGCTGTTCCTCCTTACCCAGAGTTTCATTCCCAGGACATGTGGATTGAAGAACTCCTTCAAGTCTGCCTTTCCTTTCCAGTCTCTCACCAACTCTTCCATGTGTTTGCACTTGAGATAAGGGAGAAGTGGCTCAGTGATGGTGACTGGAGATCTCAGGGATGTGTCTCTCACAGATTGATTGTTCCTGCCTGTTGCTTGTTACTCTGAATGTTGTCATCTCAGACATTACAAGGTGTCTTTTTGAGGAGCTGTGCCTTTATTCTGAGATTTTAAAGAGGTTAGGGTTTTCCATGTGTGGTAGCTCTGGCCAGCAAAATTAGATCATGGCAAGGTTCACCTTTCCTGACAGAACCCACCAATCTGCCTCTCACAATGGATTGAATGAGCAATGCAGCTCCCAGAACCATTCTTTTCTTTATGATTGATGGCTCAGGGTTATTAATTTTGTGTGCAAATACCTTGATGGCCAGAGAAGATGGAAGATTACCGAGAGAAGAAAATCCTCCATCAGCTGTAGTTGTTTTTTCCCCCAATCTGACAAGAAGTTGCTGTAACTCACAGGGTAATTAAATGCCAAGATTTTGCTGGGTTTCAGTTCCAAAATGAGTTTGACCCTTGAAATCTCCTTTGGAGCATTGACTTCTCAGTGCTGGTTGTGAGGGAGACTGACACTGGTGCTGCAATGTGAACCTACCTGGATCCATTGGAAAAGTGCAATTAGTGCTACAGCACCTGAAGATGAGATGTAACAACATCTTTGGGACTTCTAAAATTAACTTTGGTTTAAGTTAAGGCATAGCTCTGCAAATTTATAAATACAGCTAGGAAGTGTGAAAAATAAGAGGACTTCCCCCCACCAAAAAAAGCTCAGGTATTTTCAAATAATTAAATTTAAATTTGACCTCGGAACTATTTTTTTGATTATAAATTTCTGTCTTTAAATTCCAGTTGGTTACCAGTCTGGTTATTTGCACCATCAGCATTTTCATAACTTGAAAAACTTGTTGCATTTGCAGGTGAAGGAAAATGGTTCAGAAATATTGATTATTATCGCTTGGATGGCTCAACCACAGCTCAGTCCAGAAAGAAATGGGCTGAGGAGTTTAATGATGAAACTAATGTGAGGTGAGCTCTCTCCTGAGATACATGTGCTTTATTTTCCCCTTTTTCTTTCTTTTGTTGCCTAGTTATTACTACTTTTATTAGCTTCATGACCTCAGGACCAGGCAAATGGTGATCAGAACTCACAGAGAAAACCTGCAGGAATGTGTTACTGACTTCACATTAATCCCATTTACTCAGCAGTGTTTCCTTGCTATTTTCATTGTCCCTTAGATTGTAACTAATTTAAGTCACAGACAGGGTTTTTATTGCAAGCACTTAAAGGATACAAGAGCCTAGGAAGGGTGTGCAGTCCCTGGGCCACTCAGGAGCAAATTAATTCTTTCAGCTGCCTCCAAAATTAGCTCCCAGCCCTCCACTGCTCCTCCAAAATGGGACTTTGAAATCTGATTTAGATAGAGAGGTACAGGCTTGTATTTGAATGAAGTTAAGGAGCTTCACCTTCCTAGATTTGTTTAAAAAATAAAGTATGTAATTATGGTACAGTCATTTATGATGTGCAGGAGAAAAAATTTAAATTAAGAAGTAAGCTAATCCAGTGTTAATACTTTTAAATAGTTTATTCTGTCAGGTGTCTGTCAAAAACTAGTTCCAAGGAGAACCTGAGTGAGATTTTTCTGAGTCTCAAAAAACCCAGATGTATCAAAGAGACAGTGTCATTGGAAAGTTACCCTGAAAGTTTGCAGGCCAGGAAAGAGTTTCTATGTTATGGAATCTGCCTGTTTAAAATTATGGTTTAATTTGATATAACTAATTTCGTTAGAGCTTGAAAATGCAAACTCCAAAGATTTTTTTTTCTTTCCCACCAGTTTTTCTTAACAGCTCATTTGCAAAAGGCCTTGATGTGTATTTTTGGGAGTGTATGTTTTGCTAAAAGTGTTGTTCTTGTAAAATCTGCATCTGTTTTATGCTTAATACATTATTTTAATGAAGTTTTAGAGTTATTTCAGTATATGAACAACAGTTATTTTCCAAAACACTGAAATTTTGCAACTCTTCTCTGTTCCAGAGGCCGCTTGTTTATCATATCCACTAAAGCAGGTTCCCTGGGAATAAACCTGGTGGCTGCTAACAGAGTCATCATCTTTGATGCCTCCTGGAACCCCTCCTATGACATCCAGAGCATCTTCAGGGTGTATCGCTTCGGGCAGAACAAGCCTGTGTTTGTGTACAGGTTTTTGGCTCAGGTGAGTGTCCGGCTGCGCTTCCTGCGCTCTTTCATCCTGCAGGCACATTTGGGAGCTGGCACTGTGGGGACTCTGCCTGTTTGGGCTGGTGTTGGGGTCTGCAGTGGCCCACGTTGATCCAGTCATATTCCAGCTCTGATCTGATCAGGGTTTGGCCACTGAAGCAGCTCATGAAGGAAAGAGTGGTAAAATAAATGTCACATTATTTCCTGTGATGCAGCCGCAGCTCCCTCCAAAGAGGGCAGGCAGGCACAACTTCCTAAGGATATTTCCTGAGAATCACAGCGAGGGACCTCAGGGAAAGAGAAAACAATTCTTATCTCTGTTCTCTGCGCCTGTTGTTTTGCACATGTGGAATGTGTTAGGAAAATTATTTACCTGAAGGGAGTTCTTAATTAGATTCTGGTGGTGGTTGTTTATAATAATTGGCCTATTAGGTCCAAGCTGTGCTGTGTCTGTCAGAGACAGTCACGGGTTTTTCAGTAATATTCTTGTAGTATCTCTTTAGTATAGTACCTCTTCAATACAGTACAGTGTAATGTAATATAGTTTTAATAAAGCAATTGTTCAGCATCCTAAATCATAGAGTCAAATGCCAGTCATTCCCTGCATCAGGAGCTCCCTACATTCAATACTGTGAAGTCCCCCTTGTCTGACACTTCCCTAACCCAAATTCTGGAATTGCAGCAGTGATTCACATGTCCAGACCCAGACTCAGAGCAGGAGTCTCAGCCTTTTTAATTTGCACACCACTAAAAACTCTGAATGGAGCAGTCCCTGCAGAGGATGGTGTTGTTAGGGAATAGCCCTGATCAGGGCAGGTCCAACTGCAATGAAACCACATGGATACAAGTGAATTTTTATAAAAAGGCATCCAGTCTTACTTGAAAACTCATATCGCACCCTGCAGATGTTTAAGATGGGTAATAACTGGTGTGGACACTGATCTGTGCTTTATGTAAGGCCATTGTTTCTGTCAGGAAATGCCTCTCCAGCTTCTGGTTCCTCAGGTGTGACAGAGGAGCCTGGAGCCCTTTCCCAGGAGCACTTAACCCTTGATCCAGTCACTCTTTCCTTCCCAGCTGAAGCAGATCCTGGTCTGGGACATGTTACTGTCACAAATGGGGTTTTTCTTCAGGCTTCAGTTTATTTTTGTAGTTTTCTCTGTGCACTTTTGAACTGTTGATATCCTTTTTAAATTATGCTGTTCAGAACAGGCTGTGCTGTTCTCGTCCTTCTCAGTATCTTTTTTTTTCAAAAAATAAGTAATTTTCCTTTTTTCATCAAAGATCTAATTTTTTTTTGTACACAGCTGTGGTGAATTAGGCTTGACTGCCTCCCTTCCCCTCTCCCCTCCACCACAGTGATATGGTATCTGTTTTCCTTTTCACAGGCTGCTCAGAGCAGCAAAATAAGGTACATGCTGTGAAAATTGCCATTTTTTGGTCAAAATCCTACTTTGGGGAATTGAAGCAAAACTGAATCTCTTAAAAACACCACTAAAAGACCAATTTTCTTCCTCTAGTCAACAGCTAGATGACATCTGTCCCACGCACAATTCCTGCTGTGCTGCTTCCAGCAGCTCTTTCCTTTTATTGCTCAGCAAACAAACTGCTTGAAAGTGGCAAGAGCAGGGCAGGGAGAGCTGCTGGGTGGTTATTTGGGCTGTTTCACACCTGTGAGTATTGCTGTGTGTGAGCAGCAGCTGTGTGTGTGTCCAGGGAACCATGGAGGACAAGATCTACGACCGGCAGGTGACGAAGCAGTCGCTGTCCTTCAGGGTGGTGGACCAGCAGCAGGTGGAGCGGCACTTCACCATGAACGAGCTCACCGAGCTCTACACCTTCGAGCCAGACCTGCTGGATGACCCCAACTCCGAGAAGAAGAAGAAGAGGGACACCCCCATGCTGCCAAAAGTGAGTGGCGGCCATCAGCAGGAATTTTGTGCTGTAAAAACAACCTGGGTCTGTTTAAATGCGTTCCTGGTTTGTAATGTAGAGCAGTGCTGGCCACTTGGAGTGGGGGCGAAGAGCAGGAAACACAATAAAATCCATAATTAATACAACAAAACCTTAATGAGCTGGGTGAGGAGTTTCCCCTCAGTGTAATTGACACTATGAAAGATACTTATTGAAAGACCCAACTTTGCTGGGTGAGGAGTTTCCCCTCAGTGTATTTGACACTGTGAGAGAAAGATACTCATGAAATGACCCAACTTTTAAGTCACTTTTTCACACATTTTGAATGAATAGGAGTTTCACTGCATGAAACTGTGGAAAACTCAAATTAGCATCTGAGTGGGTGCTGGTGGGACCCAGCACAACCTCAGTTTGTGAGAACACATCAGTGAGGTGGCACTGGAGGTAAGGGTCATCTTTATCCATGTTTTCCTTTGCCAGGACTTTCTGGGTTTTAGTTCCCTGTTTAACTTCCTTTAGTAGAGATAAGGAAAGAGTTGCACTGAGATAAGAATAAATTTTAGAGGAAAGAATAACTGGTTCCATTATTATATTCTTTTTCTCCAAGTCAGTTTATATTTAAGATTAGGCTGTGGGTTTATGTTTCATTTAAAGTCTCTGTGGGCTGCTAAAGACTAATTCATCCTTCAGCTGTTGTGGAATTCTCTGCTTCTTGGCATTTGGAGCACTTCAGGGAGTGGCCAGTAGTTCATGAACTGGTTAAATTTCTGTGGTTTGGTCACTCTGTAGTGTCTGGGCATTACATTATATAATTAATAGTATTTTATCTTTTTTTACATTCTTAGTTAATTAATGCTTTGTGCATTTGTGCCTCCACAAACAGAGCCAATACAGCACCATTTGCTGCTGCTTCTTATTTTAAAAAATGTAAAAATAACTCAAAAACTTGTGAAACAACTGAATCTGTTAACTTGAAACATTGATCAGTCCAATGCAATAATTATATTTTACAGGTTTATGGTTTTCTATTACAAAAATAAATCAGTTAATGAATGTGTTTATAAACTCAAAACTTCCTCCATCACTCAGTATTAAGTTCTATATTAATGCCATCATCAGTGTAAGGTTTGTGCAAGTCAAGTTGAATATGAGCTTTTAACCATTTTCTGCCTTATTTTTGTGTTGTCTCATGGTTTTAGCAGATGGTATTTTGTCCTCTTGCAGATGTGCATCTCAGTCCGTGCTGTGTGCAAATTTCTAATTCCTTTTTGTTTGGTGGCTGAAAAGGTTGTAAATAATCAAGTAAATTCATCTGTGCAAGGTTCCTCAGCCATGAACTCAGTTAACTATTCTTTATTTCAGTGTGATTTTAGCAAAGCTGCATGATTCAGCTTAGTTATTAATCTCCTTAACAATTAATTTAACAACACACAGCATTTTTCTTAGGTTGATTTAAAAATGTGCTGATAGGAACACATTTTATTGTAACACATTGCATTGTTATTTTATTGTAACATCAAGTAATTACACAGCATTTAGAGATAAGAATTCACTTTAAGATCCTGTCACAAGAGGGCAGGGTAAAAATACCACTTTTTGTGCTTTTACATTATTTTAGAGTGCGAGGGGAGAGCAGAGTCCTCAGAACAGGGGGACAAGGAGGTTTGAAAATGCACCTTTTAGAGCTGCCCCTCTCTGGAGGGAAATGTCAACAGGAATGAGGGGAAATGTGTTCCATCTTTTCTTCAACCATCTGAGCACAAATGTGGAAAAATTGTGGGGATAATTGATTTTCTTCTCAGAAACCTGCCTGGATCCAGGGCATCCCACAGTGGGAAGGGTCTTCAGGAATCCTTGAGCCAGGATTTATGTGGGATGAGGAGGAATAATTCAGAGCTGAGTGTTGGGGTTCTTCTGACTCCTTTTTAACTTCCTGCATGGAAGAAAAAAACAAATATTTAATTCTTGTGTTTTAAATGGGATGGGAGAATTCATTCTGTAGTGCTTTAAAAGTCAGCAAGTGAAGAAACAAATCCTGCTTGGTTTTAAACTAGATCATTGAGAATTTTGGCTTTAAAACATCCAGCTTTGAGTCCAAGACCAGTTTTCTTGGAAAATGCTATTAAGGGGTGGGGGAGAAGGTGTTGAATTCTTTTATTTTCTACAAAAATTACATATGTGCAGTCTGTTGTTTTCCTGGAAGGTTATCCAAGTTTCCTGTCCAGTTTTAATTGGAGCAGCAGTTTTCTGCCCTCTGTGGTCTAACAAGACCTCAGGGTGTGGAGATTCTCAGGGAAGAAGTGCCTGTGGTGCTGCAGCCCCAGCTCCAGAGCTCCAGGGCTCTGCCCTCAGAAACAGCTTCTGCAGAGCCTGGGGTTAGCAGAGCATTTGTAACACCAGTGTGGCTCCCATGGATTATTCACTCTTCACTTCCATTGTTTGATTTCACTCATCCCCTCTCCTGCCCCGCTGCAAAGGGCTGCTTTGGAATTTCAGTCCAGAAAAGGTGCCATAAGGCTGAGTGAGCACTTGGTCACCTTTGCTGGGTGTAAGTATGGGAATAAGGAAAGTATGGAAATTGTAATTTCCAGAATAGTTCAGTGCAGTCCTTGAGCTGGACAAAGGCAGTGTTGGGCACTGGGTGTCCCTCAGAACTGGCCCTGGGCTCATTGCCCTTTCCTCATTCAGGGAATTAGACTTGAAGGCGCTTTTTTATTGATGTGAAATGAAAATTTGGCTCAGTTGAGGTCATGTAATGCAGATTGGAAAAGCAGATTAAAATCACAGTTCAGGTTCAGTGGATATGGATATCAGTGTTTTTATTCTACCTCAGGACAGACACATGTGGTTTATGTGGTTCCATACTCAGGGACAACTTTGTGAATTTTGATCTCAGGATTAGAAGAATTGTTTGGTTTGTTTTTTTGTTGTTTTTTTTTTTTTTTTTTTTTTTTTTTTTGTTTTTTTTTTTTTTTTTTTTTTTTTTTTTTTTAGCTTTAGTATTAAATACTCAGCTGGTTGAGAAAAACCTGTGAATTACAACATAACTTGCATTCCTTCATGGAAGATTTCCTTTCTAACACACTGATCTCTGCGTAGCATTTAATTTCAATCAGGATTTCAAAAAGACAAATGTCTTTTTTAAATTTTAAGCCCCTTTTTCAGTTTCTCATCATATTTTCATTCATCACCAGGAATTCATCCTAAAGCTTACAAACCAGTTGATAATCATTATTCTATCAACAAGCTAAACAAATATAAAGAAATCATTATTCTGATGGTTTTTTATGTGTAACGTGGATTTAGTATTTTTTAATTGTAAGACTGAACTAAATGCATCCTGGTTTTAAGCTCCCATCATTAAAGTCAACACCAAATAAAGTTTAGGCAAAGGAAAGCAGAGCCCAGTTGGATGTCATTTAAAGCACTTTTGGAGGGCTGAGGGAGGCTGAGTTAAATTCCAGGGCTGTTTGCAGCCCTGCTGTTGCCAGGGCAGATCCTGCAGCTCCAGGAGCCTCCTCGGGGCTTTGTGTCCCCCCATCCCTGGGGTGACAGCACCCCCGAGCCCCCTGCTCTGCCCCCTGTGCCCTGCAGTGGTGCAGACCCCACCCGGGATGCTCTGGGAGGAGCTGCTGATGGGGACAGTGACTCACCCAACGGGAGAAGGGTGGCACAAAGAGCAGCTCATGGATAATTGGTTAACGTAATTAACTTTTCAAACAGCTTTGTGGAGCTGCTGTGACAGAACCCCTGGTCAGGACTTGCACAGCAGTTCCCAGAGCGGCTGTAAAAATCTGTTTTTTTGTTGGGACTTTTTTCAGTCATTGTTCAGGTGAGATCACAACATGCCAGGGTGGGATGGGCTGGATTCCTGCTTGTGCAAACCCTGGCACAGTGGGGGCAGGACTGGAGGGGCTCAGATACTCCTGGACTGTAATTCCTCTCAGGAGTGGTTCAGTGATGTTTTCATATTAGGAATTTTAGCCTGAACACTGAGGTGTGTTGGAGCTTCCTTAATTCAGTATGCTCATCAGCCACACAAGTCTTGTAAAACCCCCCTTTCTGTAATGACTTAGGAAAGGAGCTCCTGAGGTGCAGCAGGAGCAGTTCTTCATAGTCCTGCAGGGATCTTTCTCTTCATCCTCTGCAGCATCAGACAAAATTTGCCCGTCAGACAAAAAGGTTTGACTAAAAAAATTGGAGGTATTGGACCCAAAGTAGTGCTCAGTGTTTGAAAGCTGCAGAGATGCTGTTTCTGTATAATAAATGCAGATGTACTGATAGGTGCTGTCTGTTGTCCAGCCTAAGCAAAGGAAAAGCCACTGAGAACATTCCATTCTTTTGAGGTGCATTTATTGTTGTGGAATCTGAGTGCATTCCTGTGGTTTATTAAGTGACTGCACTGTCCTCTCTGCAACAGATTGTTAATCCATTGCTCTCCCTCTGAGGAAAATTGTGCTTTTAAATGATTTCCAAGTTTTATTGTGCTGTGGAGTGCTGATAGCTGCTGTGTGTGGAATGGGGAGGGAGCAGGAGGAGGACACAGGGCAGAGCTGCTGGGTGACTCCTCCTTCATCCCCTCCTTTGAACAGGACACCATCCTGGCAGAGCTGCTGCAGATCAACAAGGAGTACATAGTTGGGTACCACGAACATGATTCACTCCTGGACCATAAGGAGGAAGAGGAACTCACTGAAGAAGAGAGGAAGGCAGCCTGGGCAGAATATGAAGCAGAAAAGAAGGTAAGCCTGTTTAATCTGGTTTATGTATATGAAAATAACTTTTTCAGGTTTAGAGTCCCAATTACCTTTTCAGTTTGTCTTTGGGTAATTAAACTTTGTTACAGATTGAGACATAAATATGTAAAGCATAGCTTGACATAGGAAAAATGGAGATACTGTGTCTTTTTTTCTCTTTCAGTGCTGGTTCTTTCTGTTTACGTCGTTACTTTAATTATAAGTTACTTTTGCACCTGCATTTTTTTTCTAGTTTATGATGAAACTCAACTGCTGTTCTGTGTAATCCCTCTTTTCCCATTCGAGGGTGTCCCTGTCAGGGGCTCTGTGTGACAGTGTCACCTTCCTTAGCTAACACACATTAACATATTAACCAGTACTTGATAATACAGCGGAAATCAGTGAAATGACAAGAAGTTGGAGCCCTGTTCCCATTTTGCTGCCATGTTATTGTATCAGATGCAGTTGATGGTGATTTATCCCCCCTAACTGGGTGGGTGAGGTGTGCCAGGTACTTGATAATACAGCGGAAATCAGTGAAATGACAAGAAGTTGGAGCCCTGTTCCCATTTTGCTGCCATGTTATTGTATCAGATGCAGTTGATGGTGATTGATCCCCCTAACTGGGTGGATGAGGTGTGCCAAAGCTAAAACAAAAGCTGTGCCTTGACCCTTGGCAGGGTCATAAGGGAAGTTAATGAGATGCCACCAGAGTTGAAAGTCTCAGTCAGAACTTTTGGTGTTACCCCAGATTACCTTTTGAATTTCAATGGGCCGGACACCCTCAAAAAAGGTACTGTAAAAGTACAAAAAGTGGGTGTATAAATTGCCACTGACCACCTTGAGTGAACTGATGAAAAGGTTTGGGGAGGAAAAAGAAATAGGGAAATAAAGAGTAAAATCTGAAGTTGCCCTGTGAGAAATCCAAATGGGCAATGAGCTGTACATTCCTGAAAAAATTGTGCATTTTACTTCTTCAGAATTTAATTTCAGGCTGGTCAAACTCAACATTAAGTAGTGGGTTTTCAATGTAAAAAAAAATATTTTAACCAACTTAAGCTGTAATAATAAGCCATGGTCATTTATATATCAGATATTGATATAATCAGAGATTATTCAAGACTGGAGCTTGGGTTCCTCTGTGGCTGAAATGGGTTCTGAGCTGAGGTTTGGAAACCTCCATGGTCAGTGCTCAGGGCCTGTCTCTGGGGGCTGCTTTGGCTGTGTGGTTGTTGCAGAGTTATCAGAGTTAGTGACCAGTGCACTTTGTGTTTTTCAGGGCATGACCATGCGTTTCAACATGCCCACAGGGACCAACACAATGCCCACAAATTTCAACTCTCAGACATATATTCCTTACAATTTGGGTGCTCTGTCAGCAATGAGCAACCAGCAGCTGGAGGTAAGGAGCACAGCATGCCTGTGTTGCTGCAGGGGTTTTCTCTCACAAGCTGTGGATAATGTCAGTCCAAAATATTTTAATGTTTTTAATAGTTTGGAGGTTTGGGTTTTTTGTTTTTTTTTTGCATGTAGCTTTACTGAAATTTAACTTGCATGTATATGAACCTGTACCTGGGCAGTTGTCAGGATTCTGGAGCATCACCTGCATTCTTTGCAGACTTTAATTACCACTTTTGAAACTGCAACATCTTCCAGTCTGTATGGTAGAAAATTTACCTGGGTTTTTACCGTTCTTATGCTGGTCTGAAAACCTGTGGGTACAAAAATAGGTTTTTACAAATGCTGTCTACAAATTGCAAGGTTTATACATGTTGTTCAACTGCTCTGTGCTGAAGTTCAGATGGGTGGCAGCTTAGACTCATGGACTTGTGCAAATTGAGAGCAGAGAGGTAATTGAAGTCTAGGTATGTACAAGAGAGAGATTTAAGAAGGCTGGGGAAGAAATGTTTATGTTTCTGTGCTTTATACCTGATGTTCTGGTGTTTTCTCAGGACCTCATTAACCAAGGAAGAGAGAAGGTAGTGGAAGCAACCAACAGTGTGGCTGCAGCAAGAATCCAGCCCCTTGAAGACATCATTTCAGCCATAGTGAGTGCCATGGATAACCCTGGGCTGAGATCGGGAGTGGAGAACATTAAACATTATCAAACAAAGATATTCCTACTGCAAGTGGTCATTCAGCTAATGAATTGCATTATTAATGAGCACCATTTCCACTTGGGAGTGACCTTTATCCCAGCAGTAACCCTTGGTGGGGTGTAGCTGTCACAGAGCCTTACAGGAGTGGCAGTTTAGATCCATAAGTATTTGCCATGCTCTGAAAATGCTGGTTTTTTCTAGAAATCAGAACAGCAATTACAGGCAAGTAGTTATTGTATTTTGTGGATTGCTAATTGCCAGTTAGAGGAACTAATAACTCTAATTCTGGTTCTGGTGAAGCAGTTGTGCACTCACTGGAATTTGGGCTAGTTTAACTCTTGGTGCAACTGCACACATGAGAACAATTACCATCAGGTTTTTTGTTCAAATGACCAGTGCTAAGAAGGTTTTGGGTTTTTTGCTTTCCAGTGGAAAGAAAACTTAACCCTGACGGAGAGCCAGGTGCAGGCCCTGGCCCTGAACAGACAGGCGAGCCAGGAGCTGGATGTGAAGCGCCGAGAAGCCATTTACAACGACGTCCTCGGGAAACAGCAGATGGTAAAACATCTTACATTTATGTGTCTACTGCCAGCGTTTGAGTGAGGATCTTGTGTGCGTTCATTCCTGAGCTACAGGTGTGTAGGCACATAAATACCCCTGACAGAGTGGTCAGCAGTGTGCTGGAGTTCACTGCTTGGCCTCAGTGAGGGAGGCCCAGGAGAAGTTCATGAAAAAGCCTCTCGCCTGGCTTTTGAGCCGAAGGGCTTTGCTGCGAGGTCGTGAGGCGTAAAGAGAAACCTGATTCCCAGAGCTCAGCCAGCCACTTAGGAAACACATCTTAGAAAGTGTTGGTAATGTTGTTTTAGCTTAGAATTACTTTGCAGAATCTGAAAGCTGCCCAGATGATGTCAGAGGGAAGAGTTTTTCTCTTCAGGCAAACAAACACTGGCAGTCCACAGGCGGGACTTTCAAAGGGAAGATGAATGGTACCTGACAAATGATGATGTAACTTATACCTGGGAATGATTTCACAGTAGAGTACATGTTGCCATGGCAACTCACCTAAATGCTGCCTGCAACACAATAGCCAAGTCTTCAGGAGAACTGAGCCCTAAATGCTGTTACTAAATGCTTTCTCCAGTAATGGGCTGCTGAATGCCATCACATTAGGGATGGTGATAACAATGGGGCTTTTTCCCCCAGCCGTGCTGTCCCTAACAAATTGATTTCAGCTCTGAACCTGATCCTGGGAGCAGGGGGACGGGTGGTGCACTCAGCCAGCTCTGCTTTCCCTCCACAGTTAATCGGTTGTGTCCAGAGGATCCTGATGAACAGGCGGCTCCAGCACCAGTACAACCAGCAGCAGCAGCAGCAGATGTCCTACCAGCAAGCAGCCATGGGCCACCTCATGATGCCAAAGCCTCCAAATTTAATCATGAATCCTTCCAGCTACCCAGCCATAGATGTGAGAGGAATGTATCAGTCAGTGTCTGGTGGGATGCAGCCACCACCCCTACAACGAGCACCACCCCCAATGAGAGGCAAAAATCCAGGGCCTTCCCAAGGGAAATCAATGTGATTTTGCACTAAAAGCCTAAAGGATTGTTAAAATCAGAGAAAGAACTTTTATTTTTTTAGGAATCAATGGCCTAACAGAACTCAACTGTAAAAAAAAAAAAATTGAAAAGAATAGTTTGGTTGCTCCCCTTAAATACCATGTTCCATATTAGTGTTTCAGCTTTGTTTAAATAGGTCACGATGTTTTCCCTGTTGTCAGTGATGTTGCCTAGAATCTTCTTACATATGTTGAGTACAGGAGATAACAAGTTGTTTTCAGTGAAAACAAGTCCTCCCGTTACAGTAGCATCTCCACAGGTTTCCTGTCTAAACTCCTACGCTTGCTTTTCGTGGCTGCAAAGCTTTGGGAAGCTTAGGAAGGACTGCAGGTCTGTAAGTTCAGTCTGACATGTGTGAATTGAAAACAGCTGAGTTCTTGATTAGAGTTGATTCCTCAAATTATGGAATACTTTTCTGCTTACCCATTTCTTTCTATTAGTGGGAACGTTGTAACAGAAATAGTCTAGTTTCCTTCACGGGTCATCTGTGCTGAATGGAACAGGAGCTGAAAATGCTCTCTGAAACAGAACTGAGTGCAATATTTGTAACTACTACTGCTCTGAACCTTCTGAGACACAGGGAACTGTGCATCCAGCCTTAAACGTGACTGGGCCTGCCCCAGTCTGCTGCCATTTCTTATTTTCAGTTCCATGTGATGGAATAACAGCTGATGGTCTGGGAGTGGGAGATGTTTTCCTTCACACGCTGATCCCTCACTGCGGAGTCCAGCACAAAGCACATTTCTGGTAACTCCTTCCTGCTGGTGCTACTGTCTCCTCCCATTGCCGGCAATGGGGGACGGGCCAACACAATTCAATTCCTGTCTTTTGGGGTAAGATGGTGATGGTGGCCAGGGTCAGGTGGCCTGTCAGGGAACCCCCTTTAGCATGGCACAGCCATTGCCCATGGGAAATCGATACGGACAAAGTGCTGTAGCAACCTCTGGAGCTGCCAGAAGCGTGAAACAACTTTATTGGTAGAGATGGGGTTATGCACTCCTCCCCATCCCTTCACTTGTGTGAGATCGTGGGTTGGGACACAAAGAGCTTGATTTTGGTTTTCTTTCTGTTCTGGTTTGGGATTTTTTGAATGTAGGCCAGAGATAAATTTCAGGTTCATTCTATAGCATTATCACTCTCTTTGCCCACACTTGTTGTGCTTGTCAGGTTCTTATTAAATACAAATAGGGCTTTCCTTTGCATAGACTTTGGTTGATCATTTGGGGGCAGAAGTAAGTGGCAGGAACGTGGAGGTGGTGGTGTGTGGACAGCACAGGCTCTGGAGACAGACGGAGGCGGTGGCTCCAGATTGTGCTGGACTCTTCTGATGCTGGTGTGAACTAAATCATTTTGGTTTCTGGGAAGTTTCTTGCAAGAGTTTGAGTTCTTGCCCTGAATGGACAAGTTTTGCATCTGAGCGTGCAGATGTTCCACGATGTTTCGGTGTGTGACTCACGCTTGGTTTGTGGCGTGGACAGAGGTTGGTTGGGCTGCTGCAAGCCCAGCTGACAAGTTTCTGTCTTGGACTCTGATGACAAGATACCACAAAAGACCCTCAGTGTGTTCTAGTGCTCTGCCAGCTCTACAGTTAACTGTGATCTGGGGGAGGGAGCAAAGAGAGACGTGTTGGCACTAGAAGAGACAAAAGTGAGATGTTGAGACAAACATTTGAAGGCAAATGTACTCTGGGTAACTCACCGATATTCCTACGTGTTGTGAATAAGAGAAGTACCTTCTACCAAACCTGGGAATGTTAAGTGGAGTTTTACAGTAACTCAAAGACTTAAATGTGGAAGTTTTAGGCAACATTGAAAGGCACATTTTATTTCATCCTGGACAAACCTATGGATAACAAGACTAATGCACAAGAAGGAGTACAAGATAAGCATTGAAGTAAAACCTGGACCACTTTGCTTACGTTTCTCACTCGACATTTTAGCTGCATAACAATGTGCTTTGAGTATAACATCAGGCTTTAACCAGTACTTAAAGACAGAACATACATCAGTAAGATAATAAAAAGCTCATTTTTATATTTGTTTTAGATGTTTTAACTAGATAAAAATGGCTTAAGATGACAAATAAAAATGTTGCTTGTAATACAGTTTTGCCTGCTAAATTATCCACATTTTGTAACCTGTTTATTCCTTTGGATGTAAAGCGTTTTTGCTTAGTATTGTGATATTGTATATGTTTTGTCCCAGTTGTATAGTAATGTTTCAGTCCATCAACCAGCTTTGGCTGCTGAAATCATACAGCTGTGAAGACTTGCCTTTGTTTCTATTAGATGGCTTTTCAGTTCTGTATTAAATATCTTAAGTACTATAGAAAAGGTGTCCCCTCTTCCTATAAGGCTGTTTTGTAATATATATAAGGACTGGAAATGTGTTTTTAAAAAAGAAGAAGCATTCAAGTATGACGATATACTATGTGTTTTCACCATTCAAAGTGCTGTTTTAGTAGTTGAAACTTAAACTATTTAATATCTCATTTAATAAAGTGACCAAAATACATCAACGTGCCTTGTGCTACATTCACAGTCCAGCGTTAACTCCACAGGGATTCAGCCTGGGAATGTGTCTTGGGAGAACTGTGCTGTGAGTTGAAGCTCTTACTGTTTTCTACAATGCCTTTAGTGGATGTACACATTGATTTCATTCAGGGAAAATAGCCGTGGTCCAGATTTTCAAATTACTTTATTAATAGCAGCTTCTGCCAATCTGTCAAAAATGAAATGAGTTGTCCAGCAGTGAGATGGTTAAAAGTGAGGTGAAGTTCTGCTTAGTCAAATCAGAGTAAGGTGCTGCTGTATTTTAACCTGGTAGTTGTAGTTCTCCCTTCCTTAGTCATTAAATCCCCCCTGTTGGGCACAGCACCCCCTTTCCTGTGCAAAAGAAAGTGTCATTGTGTTTAAAGGTGCCCTCTGCTCGTTCCCTGGCACTGCTGGGGCTGCTCAGGGGCACGGCCAGTCTTGGTAAAGCTGAGGGAGGTGGGAATGGTGTCCGAGGTGAAAACATTGGAGTTGTGCTCCAAGGGGCCCTGTGGGCAGCATGTTTTTAAATATCCCTGTGACTCTTAACTTGGCTGAACACTGGTGGAAGGCAGTGGGCAGCTCAGGCTGGATGTGGCTGTCTGTGTTGGGCTAGGAAGTGTCCTGGGACGAGTCCCATGTCCAGAATGTTGTGCTGGGCTGTCCCAACACTGACCAGCCCTGCTGCTGTGTCAGCTGTGCCTAGCCTGAGCAGCTTTTGCCTTTATCTTAAAAGCAGAACCACTCTGCGCACAGTAAATAAAACTAAATTCATCAGTTCAAGCAAAATATAGTTTTGAAGTTGGATAGATTTTCAATGTTTATGGAAAGCCAAGTGTCCTAAATGTTCCCAGCTGGAGGAGTCTGGAAAAAAGCTGGTGTTGCAGCACCAGCACCAGTAATCACGTGGTGTCTGAACTTCCCAGACCTGCTCAGGTGTCAAATAACCCCCTGTGCACCCTCTGTGCTGTAGAACCCACCCTGGGGATGTGGCCTGGGACACAGCAGCAGCAGAATTCCAAATGTGGCTCTGGCAAAGCTGTGCTGCTGTGAAGGGTCTGGACAAGCTCCTGCCCAGCTGTGTGTGGCTGGGATGAGTAGGATGAGTTCATCCTGTGTGTCACCCTTTCATGCAGCCACAGCTCCTGTTCCTGCTTTCCCCAGGGAAGAGATGGCTTGGGGTCACTGCAGGAGAGTGCTGGAAGGGGCTATGGCCCAAGTGAGGACACTGCCCTGGAGAAGAGCAGGGGCTCAGGGAAGGCAGGGTCACCCCTTGGGTCTGTGCTCAGCCACTTCCAAGGTTGGATCCCAAACTCCACCCTGGCCTTGTGTGCACAAAACCTGCTTGAGAATGAGTGAGACAGGAACTGGTACCTGAGGCACCCCTCAAAGCCCGATCCAGCTGCTTTAGGAATTCAGTGTTGCTCATTTCCCTGGGTTCTCACCATGCCCACGAGCAGCAGCAGTGGAGGACCAAGCCCTGGCCATGTCTGGTGTGGTGACCTTCCCTGCTCAGTGACATCTCAGTGCCAGATACCTCCTGGTACAGTGGGAGAGCCTGAGAATCCCTGGAATTTGCTTCCCAGGGCTCCTGCTCAACCCCAGTGCAGGTGTGAGATGACAGCCTTGGCGTTCTCCACAATGAGAATTCAGCAGCTCTGGGGCAGTTTTGGAAAAAGGAATAACCAGCATTGTCCAAGGGTGCAGATGTCTTTGTCTCCACATCAACATGAACTTCAGCCCTTCTCCTTCAGGAATGCTCCATCCTTGGGTGCCCTTCCAGAAACATCTCAGCCAAAGTCTGGCAGCAGCAGCACATCTCTGGATGTCCAGCCAGGTGGGACAACACCAGGACACCTTCATTGCCTGTTTCTGGATTTCTTCTGAGTTTTCTGGATTCCCTCTGCAGTTTTGGGCTCTCCATCACTCTCTCCACAGGAGGTCAGTCTTTGGCTCCTCCTCTCCTTTTCCCCCTTGGAGAAAGGAGCCCCAAGCCCTCATTCCACCCAGAAGAAAGGAGCCCCGAGCCCTGCATTCCACCCACAGGCACAGGGTCTACATGGGGATGTCTCTGAGGGCACATAGATGTTGAGAAAGGAGCCCCAAGCCCTCATTCCACCCAGAAGAAAGGAGCCCCAGGCCCTGCATTCCACCCACAGGCAACAGGGTCTACATGGGGATGTCCCTGAGGGCACATAGATGTTTGCACTTGTATGTCAGTCTCCAGACAATCCATCCAATCCATCTCTGTGCCCTGGATCATGAGCCAAAGCCAGGGAGAAAGGCACTTACTGCTGTGCTTGGCTGCACGTTGGCCTCTCCCAGGCAGCTCCCCTGTTTCTGCACCCTCCATAATGAGATTCCAGCGTTTTCCCACCTCTTTGCTGGAGCCTCCTCCCTGCTGCTCTGCACAGCTGTCCCAGGATAATGTTTCACCAAACAGGCCCACCCCTCTTGGGTGGAAGGAGAAGGGTTGAAGAGATGCCTTTTGTTCTGTTTGCTGTGGTGTTTCCAGACCCACAGCCTTGTGTGTAGAACAGCTCTGGGATCAGGGGCACAGTGGGGTTTCTGGGGATCACAGCCACCCCCTGCACCAGCCTTTGCCTCCCCTTTGAGAGTTTTCCAGTTTGCTGTTGTGACTTTGAATCCCATGGAACCTACATGAGCTGAGACCCCAAACAAACACTGTTTCCTTTTGCTGACTTGGAAGATTCTGTTAGCTTGAAGCAACCCAAACATGTTTTCCTCTCAAAGTTTCCTGGCAAGGTCCATTTGCCAGCCCTGTAACACCTCCAGGCTGAAGGAGCAGTTGGCATCTTCAGCTGGGGTAGCAGCTGGACCAGGGGGATGGGATGGGGTGGAGAGATGAGTGTGACCACCCAAACCCACTGGGCATCACAGCCCACTCCTGTGCCACTCAAAATGCGCCCCACGTCTGTGGTGGTTCCCTCTGCTGCTGTTCACTTCTCAGGTCACTCACATCTTCAGCTGCTTTGCTGAACCAGAACCAAATCATGTAAATTCCTGTGAAAGAACCATTTGGGTGGGATTTAGCAGTGCTGAATTCCCCATTTAATGAATGCCCCACACAGGACAGGACACCAGCCTTTACCAAGGGGTTTCCAGTACATTCTTTGTGGATTTTGCTATTTGCAAGTATGAGTTTTTTGAACCCAGATCCTGAAAAGGTGTTTTACAGCATCCTTGGTACCTGTGTGTCCCTTTGTGGCAGGAGGCTCTGCTGCAGCAGCTCTCTGAGTTGAGTATCAGAAGAACAAGTCCAGCGTTGCCTGCATGGGCCAAATCATCTCTCTTTGGAGTTGCTGAGATCAGGTTTTGACCTTCATTCTGAAAAGCAGCGGGATCTTAACCACCAGATTTATCTTCAAGCGCAACGGAAAGCCCTGGCTGGAGGGAGCAGGATCATCCTGGGAGGCAGAGTGAGGCTCCAGGGCTGAGGGATTTCCCTTCACGCAGGGGAAGGTCAAAAGTGCACCTGAGGACGCGTCTCGTGAGCGATCGAGCTCCCGACACAGCAGCCAGGGATGAGATGTTTCGGCAGTGACTCAGAGGAAGAAGCTAAATAAACTCTTTTTATTTCAAACACGGGATTAAATTCCTTCATGTCTGGACCATTGAAGGTAAAGCTCCTGTAATCTCCTCATTGCCAAACCCAGCCTGTCGTCTGGTGGCTGCCGGACCCGCTGGGACAGCGAAGGGACGTGGCAGGGACATGGGAGGTGGCAGAGAGGGGAAGAGACACTTGGGAGCAGAGCTGGCCTCTAGGGTTGCTGCTAAATTAGTGATGTAGCTCATGAAGAGTGTGGATCATTGCTAGGTCAGTGAAAATCCTGGGAATTCACAGGCTGACGATGAAGGAGCTGAGGTGTTACCATGACTATTTTGCAAGGAGGAGGTTAAGCAACAACGCTGTGGACAAAGCAGTTGTGATAAGGAAAACCCAGAGCCACCACAGCTGTAGTTGTTCAGGTTTTTGCACACTCCAGAGAAACCTGTTTGCTGTCAGTCTCTCCTCGTGCTGCAAAGTGCCTGTGCCTCTGCAACCACACACTCCTGCTCCCTCCGTGTGCTGAAAGCCCTCTCTGCTGATCACAGGGGACAAAACACGAGCTGGCATCATTGTGGAAGCTTTCCCTGCAGGTCTCTGACATCCCAAGAAGGCAGCAAAGGCAGACGTGGCACAAGTGTCACTTGAGGGCCTTTGCTGGCAAAGCCTCACCCGTGAGTGTCCTGGGCCTGGTCTGACTGGAGGAGGGCTGTGCTGCCTGGTACTGCTGGGCACCAGCTGGGAATATGGGGCTGGCTCAGGGCTGCCAAATGTCACCAGGCTGGCTGAGTCCAGCTGGAGGCAGAGGAAAGGTGACAGGACTGTGGGACCAGGCAGCTTCTGCAGAGGAAAATGCCACACAGCCATGAACATCCAAGCACTGCTTGAGGCAGGGGATGACCCTCACCCATGGTAATTGCCTAAAAGTAAGGGGGTTTAGAATTGCTCTTGTTGCTTTCTGTTTCTCCACGGATTTTTCATGGTGCTGCAGGTAAACCTCATGCAAGATGTGCTGGTTTTATTGCAGGACTGATGGGCCCATCCAAACCACAGCAGATGCTCCAAATGTTTGTCCTCTTAGTTTTGAGCAGGATGGTAAATCCACGGGAGTGCCTCACACCCCAAGGACACTGAGCTGGTTCTTCCCAGACCTGTGATGTGATGTCATCTTCCTGCAGGAGTTTGGGGCTTAGGTAATTGTTCTTTACTGCACAAAGCCCTTTCAGAGGTGGATTTATTGTTCATGTTGCTGGGGAAATATCGGGTTAGTTGTTGAACAGTGCCAAAAAAAATGGGCTAGCAAGAAATCTGTAATATAAAGACAATTTTATTGCCGATAAGCTCTTAAAACTCATTTTTTTTCCTGTTTCAGTAGGACCTTATTCTTCCTGATGAAAATCCGGTCATAGCATCTCTCATTAAAAATAAAATTATTTTGAAATAAATAAATATATAAAATAAATATCATATACATTTTATAAATAGTTTTGTCCTTATGCACAGTATCCATGCTTACATCTGAATAATGTTCCTTGCCCCATTCCCACCCCAACAGCAGGAAGAACCCCACAAATCAGGACCAGTCCATGGAGCATCATCCATGTAGCAAACTCCCAGGCTGCTTAAGCAGGGCACTACTCAAAGGCTTTTCCTTAGCAGGGAACTATCCCAGCTCAGCAGCAACATCTGCAGCAGTTCTGTGGTCTTTGTTTTGTTTTCTTCTCTTCGTTTTTAGGTTGTTTTGGGGCTTTCTTTTCCCCAGTGATCAGGTTTGCCCACCTGCTCATTCCTTTAAGCAACCATAACATTGAATATTCAGCCTCTCTTGTAGCAACCGGGTAACAAAAGTGAACGAAAATGGAAGATTAAATGTAGGGTTCCCTCCCTTCCCCTACCCCCGCCCCATAAATAACCCAGGTTCGATATACACTGGAAACAAGGAGGAACAGCAGTGTCTGAATTCAATGTAAGTGCTTCCCTAGGTCATCTACTCTTACAGGAATGATGGAATGACTATTAATAGAGTGCTCTGGGAAAAAGCTTGGGAGGCCAAGTATGTACACTGACACTGCAGGAACCATCACCTGTAGTGGAAGAGGTCTCTGTACATGGCAGGGATTTTGGCAGGGTCCACAGGCCGGGGTAAGAAGTGGGTGAATTTCTGGTGTCTCTTAGTCCTGTACCCCTCACGGGGGGAGCCGTCCTTGTTGAGGGCCACGTAGTACTGGCGCTCCGAGTCGGGGTGCTTGTACAGGGTCGAGGCGTACGTGTTGTACCAGTTCTCCTCGAACTGCTCGCGGAAAACGCACTCCCGGGTGAGCTTCTTCTGCCGTGGGCAGCGCAGCAGGGGAACAAAGAGACACTCGTGTTAAAGAGGTACAAGAGAAAACACTGGCACCATTCCTTATTTTATTTTTCTAGCATTTTCCCAGCTGCCTTCTCCTGGCTCCCCTGAGAATGAGGACTGTGCTGCTGGGGATGACTTCCCTGGGTGAGAGCTGGAAATGGGCACAAGTCAAGACTAAAGGACCTCTGGAGTTGGAGGACGAAGGAGACAAAAGCAGGAGAAGGTGGGCATGGATTTTGCAAAAGTGCTCCATGAATAAATGAGACAGGCACACTACAAAGATCCAAACCTGTCCAGGTGTGAGTTTGAGCTTGCTGGTGTGTCACGCCACCAGGCAGGGACACGCCCCCCTGCAGCAGCCCCCTCCAAGGTACCATACACCCCAAATCCCCTCTCTTGGGTGACAGAAGCAGCAGGCAGCACATCTGAAGGGTTCCAAACAGGAAAACAGGAGCAGACACTGCTTTGGAAGTTCAGGGGACACAGCTGGATGCACTGAGATGGGAATGAAAGCACTGCTCAGGATTTCACCTCCTGGTGTGGCAGTGAGCTTTGATGGGAGGCTGTAACAAGACCCAGAGGGACGTGGGATGCCAGACCCCAGGGGACATTTAGGGTGGCGATAGGTGATGTGATGAGGGTATGTGGCTGATGCATTCCACGCTGGCATGGGGGGACAGATGGCACTGGTGTCACCACAGCCACAGCCAGCCTTCCCATCCAGCCCTTACAGCTGGGGGCTCTTGGCTGTTTGATGATGGACTTTTTGTTCATGTCCAGTATTCCTTCCCTCTCCCTCCCATCTCATGTGTCAGCTACAGGGATGTGCCTGGCTGCAGTGGGGAGAAAGGCTGTCCCTCTGCCCCACAAGGACACAGGTGGCTTTGCCAGCCCTGCTGTACTGTCACAGAGGGTCCAGCCTTCCCAACCCACAAGGGTATTGCCAGGGTGACTGAGAGCCCTTTCAGCTGAAGGGCAGCCTGCAAATGTAGAGTGCTCTAATATTACAGCCACTGTCCCTCCACTGTAAACTATCTGGGCAGGGAATGTGTCCCCTCTGCAGAACACCGAGTGCTCAGTAAATATTAGTGCCTGCAGTAGATGTGTTTTGTAACACAATCCAGGAGCTCACCTGGGCTCAGAACCTGTTTTCAATGTTTTGCAGCTAATTAAATAAAGCCTGAGGTGAGTTGTGAGCCTTCCAAAAGTCCTAGGCCACAGCCTTGGCTATCTGAGACCCAGGGAACTGCGGGCTTCTCTTCCCAGCTCTGTCAATAAATACAGGCTGGGCTTTTTCCCTCCTCTCAGATGCCATCTACTTGGAATACGTTGGAACCTGATGACTGGCTGAACTCTGGCTGTTGCTCTGCCCCCATTCCCCCGTGCTGTACTGGGCAGTTTGGAGTACAGTGCTTGTGGAAAATGTTTGGCGAGTCTGGGGTGATTCTGCAATGTGTGATTTATTCCTTTCCAAGCCCCAGGATGTCCCCACTGAACCTGACACCACACAGGCAGCAGGCAAGGTGCTGCCCGTGACTTTTGCTGCCCTAAGTATTAGTGGCATTTCTGAAATCCTTGGGGAGCTTTACAGAAATGCTGGCATGAGGTCAACAGGGACAGGCGGAAAAGCTCTGTGTCCTGAGGGGACTCCACGTGTCACTGTGGGGATGGCAGGCTCTGGCAGCATCAACACAGGCATCAGGCAAAATTGGCACAGAGGGAAATAATAAACTTGCTGAAAATTTAAAAATACTGCTGTACTGTGATCTCCCAAAATACCATTGTAATGCTAATGCTGTTGTTTTATGGACCTTTAATTAAGAATACTGTAGTGGCTTTTGAGTTCCAAAAGCCATCATTGTACAACCCACGTGTCTCAGATTTTAAAACTCCAGGGTTATTTGGGGACCTGGCTCGTGATGCCAGCAGTTTGGAGCAGCCTTTTGAGTGTGTCCCTGCAGCATCCTGCCTGGTGCACAAGATCCCAGAATGGTTTGGGTTGGAAACAACCTTAAAGATCACCTCATTACAGACCCCTGCCATGGGCAGGGACAGCTCCCACGACTGTCTTCAGGTCACTTCTGTTTCCAGATTCAGTGCTGTAAAATGTTACCCTATTTTTGTTTCCATGTTGTAACATGAACATGGGATCTAGAATTTAATTAACCCATCATGAAACTCGATTCACAATCAGAGCTGCAGGGTTTGAAGACAAAGAGGGGGGGATACATGGGCTCATGTTCTCCAGCAGGCATGAGTGAAAGCTGAAACTCCAGGAGCTGCTGAGCAGCCTTAGAGTTTGACAGGAGAGGTGCTGCTCTAGCCCTGCTTTCTGAAGTGTGCTTCAGGAGATTTTGTGGTTTATGGAATCCTGGTGATTTTTCTTTTTTCTATTTTGCACATTTATAATTTAACCACTGTCTCTGCATTTAACTGCTGTGCTGGGCAGAAGCTGTTGCAGAAATGAGGTGGGAAAAGAACAGTTATGCATTAATTTGATGATCAGAGAATCACAGAGTGGTTTGGGTTGGAAGGGACCTTAAAGCTCATCCCTGTCCTGGGCAGAGACACCTTCCACTATCCCACATTGCTCCAAGCCCTATCCAGCCTGGCACTGGACACTTGCAGGGATGGGGCAGCCACAGCTTCTCTGGACAACTATCTCATATAAACATCAGCAGCTGTGTCTTAAATGGTGGAAAGGTCTGCGGCAGTCTCAGGTGGAAATGCGACAGGGAAAAATGAGCTGGGATTTCGGTTTACTGTTTGCCAAACAAAGGTTTTCTTACAGCTTCTGTGTATGCAGAGTAATGAGCTTTAACTTGTACACTGAAGCTTATCTGATGGTGAGAGGAAGTGCTGCCCTCTGCTTTGGTTTAAAACCGGTTTATTTGAGTTCATTTTATTTTTACTGTGATCCACCCTTAATTGAGCTAAATAATTAGGAATTGAGTTAAATTAACCTGTAGGAAGCACCTCTGCCCAGCTGTTAAGACCTGGCATTTTAACTGTAAGTCATAACACTTAACGAGTTTACACTTGGGGTTTTTAGTCAAAACATGGAAAATTTTAGCCTGAAAAGGGCACTTCTAGGAAATCATGAACAGCAGCTCTAAACTCCTAAAAGGAGTTACAGAGAATTTTACAGTAACACTCAGGCTACAATTTCAGCTTCTGTTGGTTAAAGAGCCATAATACAAAGAACAAGACCTGCAGATAGGTGCAGACCTGACCATAAGAGGTGAATAAAACTGATGTGTTACTCAGGCTGGGTAAACACAAACAATTCCTGGCTTTTTGCTAAATGTCCCCCTGCCTTTACCACACCATTTCTGAAAGGCAAAACCTCAGTGTGATGTCTGGGGGCTGGACACCACTGTGGGCTCTCACAGCAGGAGTGAATCCTCCCTCAAACCCAATTTCCTTATCTATCATTTATGTTAAAACAGCAGTGGCATCAAGGGTAGGATGGAGATCACTGGCACCCCAAGGACGTGGAGGGCCTGTGACAGAGCAGCTTGTGACACAGCTGAGGTCACAGGCTGCAGAGCTGCCTGTGGGACAGAGTGGAATGAGCCCAGCCTCAACTTACCGACCCATAGAGCTCGCCTCTCTCATTCATGCCGAGGTAGAGTCCGGAGTCCACCCCACGGATGCTCACCAGCCCCACTGCCAGGCTAATAAACTCCAAAATCCCTAAAAAAGAAAAAAAAAAAAAAACCTCTACAAATCATACAGAGGGAAAAAACAACACCAGGCTCCACCAACAAAAACAAATCAGCCATTCCCAGTAACAATATAGTTCTTAACTCTATAGTCCCATCTGTGTGCAATCTTCTGATTTCCAGTCTGGGCTTCTCCCCAGCCTTGTGAATTTGAGTTGCCCAAGTGGGATTGTCTTTGCTAATGAGAAAAGCTTTACAAGGTTTTGTTGATTTGGGTGTGGATTTTTTTCATAATTATCACCAAGAAGACAGATGTAGAAATTTGGGCCTGGCCACCAGCAATGTCAGAAGGCTGTTACATTGCTAGGTTTTATTCTGCACCAAAATGAGTGTAATTTTGTCTTCTAGAATAAGACAGTTGTTCTACAGGTTTTAAAGTCATGGGTTCAGTAAAAAGAAGTGAAAAGCAATAGAAGAGATGTCTGTGAGGACTATCTTCATCCTGGCACTCCAGTGGCATACTTGTCAACCCAAAATGTATATACAAGCCATAGGGATAAAATCCAGCTTCAAAGCACATAGGTTAAAAATGCATCTTCCTTTGCAGCTGTCAGAACCATGGCACTGCCAGCCCTTCCTCCATCACCCCCTGCCACTGCTACAACCCCCTCCTGCCCCCTATGTCCTGCTGCCTGTCCCAGCCTCCTGCCTCTTCCCAGTTCAGCAGCATCTATCCCAGCCATCCCCAGCCCTGCAACAGCAACAGTTTTACCCATGGGCTGCAGCCTGCTATGATGGTGGCAGCCTCATTTCCTCTGGAAAGAAACAGCAGGGTCTGGCTGCTGCACCCCCACAGCTGCAGCTGTCTCAATGGGGGAAAGACTTGTAACAGGAGAACCTTTGGTGAAGCACTTAAAAACAAACAGCCCCTACCCAACACCAAAAGTGGTGGGGACCTTCAATCTTCCCAGGAAGACTTTCTGAAGGCAGTGATGGGACTTTGTTATTATGGATTTCACACACTACCTATGTACAGGTCACAGGCAGTTTTGCAGTGTCCAGTGCAGGATTAATTAGCTGGGAGGCAGAAGGAAGAGGGTTTTCCTCATCTCATCTGATGACTGCATGTCTCCATTGACTGGAGGGGAAAGTTGCTCTAACCTTTAGCATGGCTCCAGCTCTCCTAATATAGCTCCCAAAACATCCAGCCCTGGGCAATTGATGCTCCGATCAGGTTACCTCCCAGAGCTCCTCTTAGAAGTATTGCCTTGGTTTTAAGCCACCGCGTGACAAGCGGCCACCTGAGCCAGCTGACTTCAGTGGCAGCCACAGCTCTGGGTCACCCCACAGCCTGGGGCATGGATGTGACAACTCTCAGATGACACTGCATCACTGCCTAAAAACAGGACAGCCCACACGGCGATGGACACCCCTGACCCACTTTGTGCAGTGCAGACTCACTGTCAGGTGCTGGCAGCTAAGCCGGCTGCAGGAATTCCTACCTACCCTCAGACCTTCTGTCCTCCTTTTCCCCTGCCTGCTCTGGGGCTTGTGCATCTAATCCAGCCCTCCCTGAAACCAGCGGGTGCTAGGGGACATGAAATATGGACTTGGAGTGGCAAGGCCTGGAGGCAAACAGGGAAGCAAACACCACAAAACATACTTTATGGACCAGAGCAGACATTTTACAGGCTGAAATATACCCAGCTATACATCCTGGCCTGGGGACACATCCTGCCTGCATAAACATCAGGAACAGGCAGCATAGGCAAGGAAGGCAGCCTTTCCAAGCCAGACAGGCACAGACCCCTCAGTAGCTGTTGTGGTTTCTTAGCTGAAAAGAATCCCAAACAGGGAGGAGAGAGGTGCAGACGACGGGTGGTTTCCTCCCTTCACTACCCACCAGTTCTGACATGAGGGAATAACTGACCTGCTGAGAGCTTTTTCCCATCTGCAGACCAGAAATTAGCATAGCCACTCTCTGAAAAGGAGGGAGTGAGAAAAGATGGACAACTACAGGGAGTGTAAAAAGTAAAGCAGGAGTACACAGATACACCCAGGAACAGGGGAGTGTTTCCAGGCTGGAGACAAAGGAATATTCAAGTGAAACATATCAAGTAACTGGAGAATGGTAGATGGACCTTCCTGTATGTAGGTATAGACACAGTCCTCAGCATCAGCACTTTTTTTGTCTCCTGCCACTTGTGAGAAGCAGGAAAATGTTGCTGGTTCCACTGAGAAACTGAGGGATGTCCAAGGCAGGGGAACCCAGATCTTTTCCTGAGTATGCCCACACGCATGCTCTGTATGAGGCACATCAATGCAGGTCTCCAAAGACCTGGGAAGGACCAAGCCAGGAGCAGCATCAGCATCTTCCCTCTCTGAGCAGGAATGAGACATCCCTCACCTGGTGCAGGTTGGGTAGATATGGGTTTTGCAAATGAAATTTCTTCCAAGACGTGCCCATGACAATCTCTTCTGACAACATCCCTTGCAGTATTCCTCTTTTCTGATCTCTGAGTGGCACTTGGAGACATGCATGGAAGATGACTACGTTGAAAGAGCGTTAAGAACGTAACTTGAACCCACAAAAGTCAGGAGACAGAGTGAAGGCTGAAAATATGTGGGCGGATATCCATCCTGTCCTTAACTCACTCCAATTGTAGACAAAATTGCAGCTTCGTACATCTGATCTCCAGCAGCACAGGGAGTGGCCACTGGGGCCAGCACAAGAATTCTCTTTCCAATTGTAGCGGTGTGTTTTTGTGGTAGAATATGCTTTTGTTTTTTTCTTTTGCTTTCTTTCTTTTTTTTTCCCCAGGACTTGCCTCTTTTTTTCCTCACTTTGATTATTCATTCTCTTTGTTCCTTAAGTCTTTCTAGATAAGACTTGGACAGATTTGATTAAGACTCTGACTGGATTCATTTACCACTAAAGCACTGAATAATCTCCTGAGCTTTGCCATGGCCAGACCCACACACTCTCGCCTTACTCTAAACCATCCCTCAAAGAACAATTCAGCTCCCTGCACCTGTCTCTTCTTCCATGACTGTATTCAGGAGCTGGGGTACAGAAACATCAGACATTGTATTAATGGCTACAAACCTAAAGCTTTGGCTAAAAACCTCAACAACTGTTCAGCAACAGGTGCACTATGGTCTGAATGTCAAAATTACAGCCAAACTTTCTCTGGAGGTCTCAGAAGCTTCTCTAGGAATCTGTGTAACATATCCATAAGCAGGTTTGTACCCCAGAAGAGCTTTGTTTTCTGCCTTTATTTATCTGCAGGACAACCTCAAGTCCCCTTTCTCTCCTCCACAGCAGTGAGTAGCACCGTTGGGTTCACTTCTTTAATGCTGCTGTAAAAGAGATGGGAGGCAGAAAAGGAGCAGTTCCTCCTGGCAGGGATTTACCTGGCAAATTTCTCTCAGTTTCATTCTGAGAAGGATCCTCAAAGGGGTGCTAATGTCAGTCCAGACCCCCTCCAGATTTTGATCATCCTTTATTTCTTTGTAGAGGAAGGCTCTGAGTAGATGCAGTGAGAGAGATACATTTTGGAAAACACTTTATCCTTTGGGGGTGACCTTGCCAGACCTGCCAGTTGAGAGAGTGAGTTTGGGCACTTCTGTAGTGTGACAATGAGCTTTCTTCCAAGAAACCTAGAGGGCTTTTCCACATTTTGCATTAAAGCTCCTCTAGGAAAAATAAGCTGCACTCCATTGTTCTTGCAAGAATCTGTGTTTTTAGAAGTATAAAATATCACATTCCAGAAGACAGGTGTGATTTAGGAAAGCTCCAGTCCTTGACAGTTAAGAGGGAGTAGTTCCAGTGATTGCTCAGGCAGTGTGGGAGGATGATGCCAGTACCTCCCCTGTGTCCTACAGTCACACCCCCAAATGCTGTGGTATAAAAGAATCTCTTCTTTTAACCCTCACTGTTGGGACCTTGGGACTCTGTTCTGCATCAGCAGGGCTTTAGCTATTTTCCTCTCTGGAAGATGTGGATGTCTTGCACATCTGGTAGCTTTTGGGATGACTGCACATGGGAGGGTGCAGATACTGCCTTGTCTATTCCTGAATCCCTTCCAAATGAAGAGACAGGGATGCCAAGTCCGGGTCTTCCCAACATCCCACCTGCAGCTGGATGCCTGCCTGGGCTGTGGCATCACAGCCATCCATGGAGCACCTTAATTATCTGCTCATGGTACCAGCAAACACCTTCCAGCCACGTGGACTTGATCCTGGATTTCTAAGTATTTCTCCAGGTGCTTCAAGATTTAAGGCAGCTTTAAAGTGCTTCCCTGAACCCCTCGTCTACCTCTGCATCCCTCACCACAGCTTTGGAGTCCCCAGAATCACTCAGGCTGCCTATTCCTGTTATAAGTTACTTCTTTCTGACTGTTGCATGCAAAATTTAGGAATGCATCGATACATGACATCCTAATATGAACCATACCAGTAACATTGGAATTTAAATATTCATGGCTACTGAACGCAGATGGTGAATACTGTGTGCCAATACATTATTGCTTTGAGTCTCTGCTGAGGCAAGGCTTAGTCCAACTTGATCTGAACGCAAGGATTCCAGTCTAATCTTTTGGGGCTTTGTCTTGCAATTACAACAAATAACTATTTATTTTACACCACCTCTGGGAAAACCCTGAAGCAGAAAACTATAATATCTGAAGTCTGGTCTAGTTTACGGAGCTGGATGTGGACTGCTAAAACACTTAGGGAATGCCAACGTTTCGATTTATTGAAATCACTGTGTGATTTAAACTTCAGTGTGCAAAATCCATGAGAAGTTTTAGCATGTCTAACATGTTTTTTCCAAGTTGGAAAATATACTTGTTTTACTCAATCTTTATAAAAATGGGCTGGAAACAAACGTAGCTATTTGAAACTGGCTGTTTAGATCTACAAAGGTAAGGAAAAAGAACTGATAGACTGGAAACACTACGTGGCAGCTTGAACTAAAATCAACCAGATGCAATGGGTTTGCTTTCAACTCTTTGAACATGGAAACCCATCGCGTATTACAGCATGAAAGGTTAAAAGATGGGTGTTTTCAGGAGGTAATTAAAGAAAGCTTGCCCCATGAGCACATTAGTACCTGACTCTGACCCGCGGGTTATGACTTTCTTGTTGATTTAGGCAGGGACATGCCATGCACACACCTGGTGTTTATGGAAAGATAAGCTTCCCCAATTGTTCCAAAAACCTGCCTTACACCTCCAACAATAGCAGCGGCAGCACTTCCCGGAGCATCAGAACTGACTGGTTGCAAACAAGTAAAGACAAAAAAATAATTCCTTTCACCGAGGAGTTAAATCACTTGAAAACTATAAAAAGTCTTGCGAGCATGTCTTGCAACCTGTTGACAACATAGCTGAGATCACTGGCATGGGACTTGTTGATAGCTTATACAGACACCTGCGCTAGATGCTGGAGTAGCGGGAATTTCTCTTACTGTGCTCAAACTGACTGTACTCTTTCGCCTGTGGCTTGGGATGCATTTTTTGAAGGTTACATATAGTCTCATTAGAGATCACTGCTCTTGTATGCCACTGATACAGGCACTGCATTCTTCCAGCTGTATCCCGAGCAGCAAGGTAAATCCACGGTGCTCTGCCTATTGTTCCATCTTCTTTCTTTCCGAGGTCCCCTAAGTGTTTTTTCCTCTTCAGCTTCCCCCTTTCCTATCCAGCAACCTTCCCAAACCCAGCTCCCGATGCCCCTCCAGCCAACAGATCCCTGCCTGCTTTGGGGAGACGCTCTTCTAATCAAAGTCATGCATGTAAAAGAAAGCAGCTCACAAATATCTGCAGACGCCAGAAAGAAGGAGGAGTTAAAAAAAAAAAAAACAACAAAAAAACAAAAAAAAAACCAAAAAAAACCAAAACCCTAAGAAAAGCGAGGAATTTCTTTTTCCAATCTAGGAATTTCCAAGAAATTCCAACGAGGAACTTCTCTGTTTTGCCTCCCTCACCACTAACTTCAGAGACAGCGCTAAAGCTGGTCACTGTCCTCTTTTTTTGTCTTTATTATTTTTTTTAAAGTTTTTCTTGCAAAGGCACGTTTTAGTGCACCTGCAGAAAGGCTGAGCGCCGGGAGAGTAGGAAATTGGAAATAAAAACTCCCGCATTGCTAGAGAGTGAGCGCATTTGTTTAGGAGGCCAATTATATCCGTCCCGGGATGATTTATATTAGCGGGGTAATTAGTTGTGCGCGCGGGGCACCTGCTCGGGCACCCCCCGGCCCCTTACCGAAGCGGCTGTGGTCCTGCCGGGTGCCCTGCACCGTGCCGTTGGGGAAGATCTCCAGGTGGAAGCCGGTGCGGCAGTAGAGCTGCCGCCGCCGCAGGATGCCCTTGAGGTGAGCGAAGTCGGTGGGGGAGCCCCGCTGCAGCCGCCCCTCGATCTGCCCCAGGCGCTCGTTGAGGAAGCCGGGAGAGTCGGCGAGGGGCAGCCCGGCGCCCAGCGCGGGGGGAAAGCCGTGCAGGTCGGGGTCCAGCGCGCCCAGGAAGCCACCCACCTCGGCCATGGGCGCGGAGCGGAGCGGCCCCGGGGGCGCGGGCAGAGCGGCCGCTCAGAGCGCGGGCTGCGGCCGCCCGGCCCCGCGCTGCCGGCCCCGGCCCGGCCCCGCGCCGCCCGCGCCTCCCATCGCTGGATCCAGTGTCCCGCCGTCGGATGCGAACTGCACTTTATATACGTACACACTCCCCTTACATTGACATATTGGATATTTAAATGCAAGCCACACCTCACTGGCATCCCCTTTGGCTATTGCTTCCCTCCCCCCCTTCTCTGATGCATTTGGCTTTTTTTTTTTTTCTTAAAAAAAAAAAAGGAAAAAAAAAAAAAAAGAAGGGAAAAAAAAA